CTCTCTCTCTCTCTCTCTCTCTCTCTCTCTCTCTGTCATGCGCGCTCTCACATTCTCCCTCTTCCTCTTTCCCTCTCCCCCTTCTCTCTCTCTCTTAAAAAAAAAAAAAGGCAATCCAATTAAAAATGGACAAAAGAGTAGTGCCTGGGTGGCTCAGTCAGTTAAGCATCCGACTTCGGCTCAGGTCATGATCTCATGGTTTGTGAGTTCTAGCCCATATCAGGCTCTGTACTGATAGTTCAGAGCCTGGAGCCTGCTTCAGAATCTGTGTCTCACTCTCTCTCTGCTCCTCCCTTGCTCGCGCTCTGTCTTTCTGTCTCTCTCTCTCTCTCAAAGTAAATAAACATTTAAAAAAAGTTTTAAAAAGTGGACAAAAGATTTGAGCAACAAGGATAGCAAGGAAGCACACAAAAAGATACTCAAGCTTAGTCACTAGGGAAATGTAAATTAAAACCACAATGTGATACTCCTACATATCTGTTAAAACGGATAGATTTATAAAGAATAACCTCACCAAGGAGGCAGAGGAACTAGAAATGTCATCCTGCAGGGGGCGGAAGTAGGGAAGTAAAATAGTACAAGCATCTTGGAAAACAGTGCTGCAGTATTTTACAAAGTTAAATATACACTGGCTCTGTGATCCAGCCATTCCACTCTGAGGTTGGCACCCAAGAGAAATGAATGCAGGTGTCCATACAAAGACTTCTAGGTGAATATTTATAGCAGCTTTATTTGTAATAGCCCCAAACTGAAAGCAACCCAAATATTCATCAACAGGTGACTGGATAATCAAAGTGTTGTATATCCATACAGCAGAATACTACTCAGCAAGAAAAAGGAATCGGCTCAAGATACACACAACGCGGATCAATCTCAGGATAATTATGCTGAGCGAAAGGAGCCAGCCAAAAAGGGCATCATGTATAATTCCATTTATATAAAATTCTAGAAACTGCAATCTAACCTATGATGGCAGAAAGCTGATCAAAGATTGCCTAGGGAAGAGGGAAGGAGAAGAGGGTGAGATAGTGAAGGACCACGAGTAATCTTTTGGAGTCACAGACAGATGTTCACTATTTTGTGGCGATATATGCCACACGTCAAAACATAAAATTGTTGGGCCACATGGGTGGCTCAGTCAGTTGAGCATCTGACTTCGGCTCAGTCGTGATCACGTGGTTTGTGGGTTCGAGCCCCACACTGGGCTCTCTGCTGTCAGACCAGAGCCTGCTCTGGATCCTCTGTCTCCCTCTCTCTCTGCCCCATCCCTCCTTGTGCTCTCTTTCCCAAAAATGTATAGACATTTTATTTATTTATTATTTGTTTATTTATTTTTATAAATCATAGCTATTTTTATTGCTATTTATTTTCATAGTTTTTATATACATCGGCAACCATCTTTTTATTTTTTTAAATGTTTTTTATTTATTTTTGAGAGTCAGAGAGAGCACAAGCAAGGGAAGGTCAGAGAGAGAGGGAGACACAGAATCTGAAAAAGACTCCAGGCTCTGAGCTAGCTATCAGTACAGAGCCCGACGCAGGGCTCGAACCAACGGACTATGAGATCATGACCTGAGCCGAGGTCGGACGCTTAACCAACTGAGCCACCCAGGAGCCCCTATAGATATTTTAAAAAGACACATAAAATTGTTCACTTTCAATACATGTAGTGAATGTATGTCAGTTACAGTCCAATAAAACTGTTTAACACTTGTGATGAGCCTGGAACAAATTGTTACACCAGAAAGTAGGAAGCTAGACATTGTGTCAAAAAGATTCAGGGGCCAACTTGAATAGGCACCCACTAGCCAAAGTTGCTGAAATGTAAGTGTCAATGAGGATACTATCTAGAATGGATTGAAAGAGAACAAGTATGTTTTTTAATTTTTATTTCTTAAAGTGACCTCTACACCCAACACGGGGCTTGAACTACAACCCCAAGATCAAGAGTCACGTGCTCTACTAACTAAGCCAGCCAGGCGTCCCAAGAACAAATATGTTTAAAAAAAATTTTTTTTTAATGTTTTATTTATTTCTGAGAGAGAGAGCGTGAGCAGGGGAGGGTCAGAGAGAGAGGGAGTCACAGACTGAAACAGGCTCCAGGCTCCGAGCTGGCAGTCAGCACAGAGCCTGACGCGGGGCTCGAACCCACGAACCGCGAGATCATGACCCAAGCAAAAGTCGGACGCTCAACCGACTAAGCCACCCAGGCGCCCCAAGAACAAATATGTTTAAATCCATATGTTCATAATGATAGATATAAAATATATTTTATGTGGGGACGTTTGGGTGGCTCAGTCGGTAGAGCATGTGACTCTTAATCTCAGTACAGTGAATTAAAGCTTCATATTGGGGGTAGAGCTTACTTAAAAAATAAATAAATAAAAATGTCAATAAAATATGTTTTGTGGTCATAATAATAACAAAAATCTCATTGATCAATAGCCTTTGAAAGATACTAGGGAACCAATTAATTATTTTGAAAACTGCTAAAAATAAAGAGTCACACATTTATCCTGCCTTTCTTCTATGAAGTGTACCTCATATAATCAATTAACCAATGAAGGGATGTTCCTTTTACAGATATTCCAGCTAATAAATGCTGAAGTGATGTCACTATTTACAACCCCTCAGTCAGCGCAGTGACATTAATGGCTGCAAATATCACAAAATGTGAGACAAGTCGTCATTGTGATTCTTCTTACGGAAGTACACGATACCACATAAGTAATCTTGTAAATTAAAAATCAAACCTGGGGGCGCCTGGGTGGCTTAGTCGGTTAAGTGTCCGACTTTCGCTTAGGTCATGATCTCGCGGTCCGTGGGTTCGAGCCCCGCGTCAGGCTCTGTGCTGACTGCCAGCTCAGAGCCTGGAGCCTGTTTCAGTCTGTGACTCCCTCTCTCTCTGACCCTCCCCTGCTCACGCTGTCTCTCTCTCTCCTAGAAATAAATAAAAAACATTAAAAAAAAATCAAACCTGATCTGATCAGACCTCTTAGCAAACAACACAGTAGGCAGAGGAAGATGTTAAAACAATGCCATGCGGATGCCACAAGCAAGATCCAGACTGGGGAAAACTCTACAGGATAAACCACCTAGTTTCTTTAAAAAAATAAAATAAAATAAAGAGAGAAGGAAAGGAAAGGAAAAGAAATGAGAACATGAAAGAAATTGCAAGCAAAAATCAGAGGAAGAGGGAAACCATAGATTTGAAAAGACTTGAGACATACTAACCAGTTGCACTGTATAGTCTAGATATCAATTAGCTAAACTTTTTTTAAAAATGACCTTTATAGGTCAATCAGGGAAATGTAAACCCTAATTCGATATTTGGTATTAGAAAAATTATAGTTAATTTTTTGGGGGGTGGGGATGATAGTTTGGGGGATATGCTTTAAAAGAGGAATGCTTGCCTTTTAAAGATACATTCTGAAATGCTAACTGGTGAAATCATATGTTGTCTGGTATTTACTTCAAAATAATGTTAGGGGGCGATGTAGGTGCAGGGATAACGGAAACAAAATTGACCGTGAGTTGGTTAATTGTTGAAGTTGACTAACGAATGTATAGCTCATTAGGCTATTTTACTTCTATATATGTATGCATGTTTTAAATTGTGCAATAAAATGGTTTAAAATTGTGCGTCAAAGTGCTTGCATATGAACAATGCAATTTAAAAATCGGGAAAACCGTCCCGCAAAAAACGCTGGTGCTACTTGGCGTTGAGAGGGGTAGTATGAGTCATTTCCCCCTTCGTTTCTACATTTTCTGTCTGTAATGTATCTCTATATTATTTTTATAATGAGAAATTATGCATAATAACCTCTAGGGGAAAACAAAACCTCTACATTTTAGCCGCCCTCTTCCTGGTATCAAAAACCCATCTAGTCTCACTCCCAAATCCACCGCGCTTTAGCTAAACTCCCCGCCATGTCTTCCAAATTCAGATTATCCAGGTTCTGAGACTACGAGGATTTTGAGGAAAACAGGTCAAGTCCAGCGCACCGTAAGCTTCCACCGGCCCGTTGGATGATGGAACCCACACACCACTTGCCGCTGAAACCTCCAAGGGCGCAGCCTGACTTGGGTACGCGCCACGTTTCCAGGCGTGAATAACATCCGCGCACGCGCGCGCAGCGAGACTACATCTCCCAGAAAGCTCTACTCCTTGCATGGGGACAGCCTTCGTAGCGGCGGACTACATTACCCAGTGACACCTTGCGAGAGGTGTTGCCGGTCTACTACTATACAACTATTGGTCCAGGGCCTGCCGGAAGCTGTGCGGTGATTGGCTACGGAGCCCGTCAGTTACTGCCGAGTTCAATTAGGGTTGCTGTGAGACCGCTTGAGGAGGTAGGAAGAGAAGCGCGCGGATCCTGGCCGCGCCCTTCGTGCCGGGTGAGTGACCTCTACCTCTTCCTTTCTCGCCGTGCGCTCGGGGACCTTGGGGTCGCATGCGTGCGCCAGCACTCACGAGGGAACAGGGCCTGCACGCACTCGTGTCACGCCTGACTGTAGAAGCATCTTAAGCGACGCAGGAGGCAAAACCTCGCGCACACGCGAGACACCCATACACGTGGGTGCCTGCTTGGCGGGCATCTTCTCGGACCCGGGGAGAAAACGCTCTGAGCCACGCCTGGACACCTGTGTCCACACGCGGGGTCACCTGTGGGAACCCCCCCCTCTCCAGCTGAACACGTTGGCACAAGGGCACCGGGCACCCGAGCTCACCATTCATATCCAATCGCAGGGGCTTCCGCAGTTAGAGGAGGGGGATGGCATGGCTGAGGTATCCACCCTGCCACTCACTCCAGCGGCCGCCCATGCTCTGGGTGCTCCATTCTATACATCATGCATATATTTCTATTTCATTTTTATTTGTCTCTTTAGATCAACATCAAGGCTTACTGGTACCAGAAGGAAATCCAACAAGCGGAAAAAGTAAGGTCACTATTGAACTATATTTAATGAGCCCTTTCACATGTATAAAACTTTTACCTTTTTTTAAGTAGAATTTTATTTTTTTTTTCAAATGTTTTATTTTTGAGAGAGAGCTAGAGACAGCGTGAGCAGGGGAGGGTCAGAGAGAGAGGGAGACATAGAATCCGAAATAGGCTCCAGGCTCTGAGCTGTCAGCACAGAGCCCGACGCGCGTGCGGGGCTCAAACTCATGAACTGTGAGATCATGACCTGAGCTGAAGTCGGTCACTTAACCGACTGAGCCACCCAGGCGCCCCAAACTCAGGCTTATTGATACGAGATTTGATGTTTTGACCAGCTATGCACAGCAGCTTATTTATAGAAACACCTCATTCCCTTCCTGATGGCAGGAAACTCACCCTGCTCAGTGAGACCTCAGCAGTCGAGGCTTTGCCTGTCAATCATCTGTTTCTCACAGGTGCCTGGAGAGAAGCAGCTTGAGTTAATGTCAGAGAAGTTGGTGGGAAAGGCCATCTTCCTTTGAGAGTATGGGGAAGAAAGTGCCGAGAAACGGACACATTTCTGGCCAGAGTGTGGCAGTTTGACATCATGAGAATCCTTTTTTTTTTTTTTAATACATGTTTATTTATTTGAAGAGGGGAGGGGGGAGGGGAGGGACAGAGAGGCCAAGAATCCCAAGCAGGTTCCAAGCTCTCAGCACCAACTCTGACGCAGGGCTTGATCCCATGAACTGTGAGATCATGACCTGAGCCGAAATCAAGAGTCAGATGCTTAAAGCCACCCAGGCGCCCCAAGAGTAGGGGCGCCCCTTAAGTAGGCTCCGCGCCCAGTGTGAGGCTTGAACCCATGACCCTGAGATCAAGAGTTGGGTGCTCTGCCTACTGGAGTCACCCAGGTGCCGCTGTACCATTAAACTTTTAATAAAATATTTTAGAGTACTTTGCTGAGAGAGCCCCATGGAAATGCCTTGTTAATTTTAAGGATGGATTGGAGCACTACTTTCCTACTTTCAGAAGCATGAGTTTGGGGCTGAGGGAGTGGTGTAGACAGTTCTGGAAAAGAATCAGTGGAGTGGTGGGGTGGCCCTTGTCAGTCTGTGGGCACGGACTTTATTGTAACAGTATATTGGCATTCAAGAACTTGGTTGATTCTGTGTCTCTTCTAAAATCATTTTATATTTAGTTTTATAACTCTTCTAAAATCATTTTATATTTAGTTTTATAACAAATTCAGATGATCTAGGAAAAGGGAGAGGAGCGCCTGGGTGACTCAGTCGGTTAAGCCTCTGACTACGGCTCAGGTCATGATCTCCTGTTCCTGAGTTCGAGCCCCACATTGGGCTGTCTGCTGTCAGTAGCCCGCTTTAGATCCTCTGCCTCCCTCTCTCTCTGTCCCTCCCTTTCTCACACACATGCATGTACACACCCTCTCTCTCTCTCTCAAAAGTAAAATAAATATTAAAACGAAAGAAGGAAAAAAAAAGAAAGAAAAAGGGAGAGGTGTATTTTCTCTCTTCCTTTCCCACCCCTTCCCGTAAAGGTAATCTTACCAGCCTGTTGGTGTGTGTGCTGTTACAGACTTTGCCCCTGTGCTTTCTACTACCGCACGCAGTGTAATAGTTCTTGCTATTTCTCTTTTGTAAAAATGGGGTTAAGCTAGACATGCTGTTCTGAAACTGGATGCTTTTTTGTTTTTTTACACTGTTCAGTCTATTGTGGACATCTTTTCAAGTGTGCATATCGCTTTGGCTCATTCTTTTTAATGGCTACATAAGAGTCCATTGCTTGGATGTGACTTAGTGTATTTATCCATCCCTCCATTGAGAAGCATCTTGTGTTTTTTTTTTTTTTAATGTTTTTTGTTTATTTCCTAGAGAGAGAGGGCATGAGCAGGGGAGGGTCAGAGAGAGGGAGACACAGAATCTGAAGCAGGCTTTAGGCTCTGAGCTGTGAGCACAGAGCTCGACACGGGGCTTGAACCCACGAACCGTGAGATCATGATCTGAGCCGAAGTCGGAGGCTTAACTGACTGAGCCACCCAGGCGCCCTATAGAAGTATCTTGTGTTCTATCAAGTGTCACAAAGAGTAACGCAATGCATGCCACTTTGCACACCATTGCTGGTGTTACTTTAGAACAGTGGTTCTCAACAAGAGCAGGTGCTGTGAATGCCAGAGAGGACGTAAGTTCGGCCTTGGGGGGGGGGGGCGGAGGTGGTGATGCTCTTTAGGTGTTTTCTAGAAACTGGCCAGGAGGGGAGCCCACCCTGATTGAAGTGGCTGAAAAGCGGTCCAGGGTGAGATTGAAGAGGTCAGCGGGGATCAGGCGGGCCGGGAAGCATCATTTCAAAGCAAAGCAGGGCCCCACTGCTGCCGCCGGGGAGGGAATGTGGAAGAGCGAAGGCTCTTCCTTGGGATCACATGGGCTTGTTGGGGCGTCCCAGGGGGTGCTCCTGGAGCCTGCACGTCTGACGTCTCCCTCCCTGCTCATCTGCAGTGGGCTCTGCTGTCACACTGGCCCAGCCTGGGACTTTACCTCAGGTGGGAGCTGGCCATAAAGCCAGGTGTCTTGGAAAAGCAAGCTGACCTCTGGAAGTGAATGATTTCCTCCCAAGCCTGTTTGTTCATTCGGTTAACAAATATGACCACTCACCACACTGGGCTCTGTTCCAGGCGCTGGAAATACAGGGATGGGCAAATGAGAGCAAGGCCACAAATTTATGGGCTCACATTCCAGTGGGGGAGGGTGACAAGAAACATGTGCAGAATAAATGTCCAGTATATTGACGCTATAAAGAAGACTAAAGCAGGGCGAGGGGACCGAGGGGATGTGGGTGCTGTTTTAGATGGGACGGTCCAGGAGGAGGTGGCCTGTGAGCAGAGACCCTAAGAACTCTCTCTGATGTTTACTCCACAGCTTTTCACTTCCATCCTGAAACTGATGGACGTTGGATGGGCCAGAGGCAGGGATGGTTGGCTATGACCCCCAAGCTGATGGCAGGAATATCTCCAGTTCTGAGGTGGCGGTGGCTGGGTCTGTGTCCGGACTTGTCACTCGGGTGATGATCAGCCCCTTGGATGTCATCAAGATCCGTTTCCAGGTACCTTTTTTCCCCCTTGTTCCACATAATGGGCTGGAGGACAGGTTCTCTCTTTCTTGGAGTTTTGTCAAGGACAAGCACTTTGCCGCCTTTGTTTTAACCTTTTCCGAAAGTTCTTCTCCTCGCCTGACCTTTTTGATTTTGATCCCTAGCTTCAGATTGAGCGCCTGTCTCGCAGTGACCCCGGTGCAAAATACCATGGGATCCTCCAGGCTGCGAGACAGATTTTGCTGGAGGAAGGCCCGACGGCATTCTGGAAGGGACACGTCCCAGCCCAGCTCCTCTCTATAGGCTACGGAGCTGTCCAAGTAGGTGGCGGGGGAATGGGCCAGGCCCCTGGGTTGGACTTGCTCAATAGAAGAGCACAGGGAGGGCGGGGCTTTCAGGAACCCTGTCTGGGTAGGGCAGCTGGAGGCAGTCACCGTGCTTCTCACTTGCCTTAACTGCGACCCTACCTGAAGTCTGAAGACTAAAATTGAAGACAGTGAGACTGCGTCATACCACGGGTATCCCCTTGCACACCTCCTCCCCACCCCGGGGACTTTGCACCCACTGAATATTAGATGTTGCCCCGAGGAGACTGTCTTGAACGCCATGCCCCTTGTGGGGCTTGGCAAAGGGCGATACAAATCTTTGCGGTTTTCAAAATAGCATCTTCGCATCTGTACTTCCCTTGGACTTCCCAGCAGCATTGCGAGGAAGGTAGAACAGGTGTTACGTGGATCGCAGGGAGGGCCAGCCAGCTGCCAGATGCCACACAGCCTGGAAGCGGTGCGGCCAGGATGAGAATTCAGGCTCCTTAGCTTCTGTTCGCACGTTCGTGCGGCCCAGTGTTGGTCAATTTTGTGGCGGTTGGTGTGTAGCCGTTGGAGTGGTGGTAGTAGGCTGCCTGTGTACGGTGCTAACTGTGAGCCAGGCTCTGCTTTAAGCGCTTTGATGGGCGCTCTGTGGTCGCTCCTGTTACGGACGGAAGCCCGGGCAGAGAGAGCTTAGGTAATGAACCCAACCAAGGTCACTAGCTAGAAAGACAGCCGAGCCAGGATGTGCACCCGGACAGCGGGGGCCAGAGCAGGCCCTGCCTGCTTTTCCTGTGACGTCACAGCGATGGCTCGGGTTGGGCGCTCACCGGTGGACGTGCCCCAGCCGTTCGGCCTCTGCAGCTGGTGCTCGGGTTCTGAGCGTGATATGTAAATACAGCAACACGCTCTCGGGACCCTGGCCCATTCGAGTTGACTGGGGGAGAGCTAAGCAAAGGGGCTTTACACCGCAGAAAGTGGAATGCGTGGAATTTCTGCTCCAGGGGGGAATGTCTGTTGAACAGCGCCACCGCCAGGTGCGCCAAGGGGTGCCCACCGAGAATCAGATAAGGGCCTTGCGCCCGCCCCCCCCCAGCTGATGAGACCCAGTTAAGGAGTAGAGCTTTCTGATGTAAATTTTTTCTTCACCCTTTGGATAGTTGGCTCTTCTCACATAGAGTATAAAAAGTCATCTGCGCTCTGCACAAAATTCAATGTGTACCATACTGTTCAAGAAGAGTGTTTCCTTGTCTGTAGAACTGGGCCCCGCGTGGGTCAGGGTGCTGTTTGGAGGCGTGGGGTGTCAGTAACTTTGTCATGTGCTCTTGCAGTTTCTGTCATTTGAATTGCTCACCGAGCTGGTGCACAGAGCCAGCAGGTACGACGCCCGCGACTTTTCAGTGCACTTCGTGTGCGGCGGCCTGTCTGCCAGCGCGGCCACCCTCGCCGTGCATCCCGTGGACGTCCTGCGCACCCGCTTTGCGGCTCAGGGTGAGCCCAAGGTGAGTGGCTGGGCCGGAGGCGGCGGGGAACGAGTCCCCGAAGGTGTTCCGGGAGGTGGGGCTCATTCCTCTGGAGGAAACCAAGTGGGAGCGCCAGGAGTTTGCCTCCCCTCCGCTGGTCCGTGCGTGACCCCTGCAACTGTGCTGAGCCCCGAGCAGGGTCCTCACAGCCCCACGAGGGAGACAGAACCTACAGGTGGTAAACAGGACAAATCCCGAACAGCAGGCTGGACGGCGAGGGCGTCTGGGAGAGTGAGACTTGAGAGCATGTTGCTGGGTTATTGTAAGAGTGTTTTTGGTTTCCACAAAAAGTGGGTGGAGGAAATGGGGTAATTGAGTCAGATTCCAGGAAGAACTTACTGAGTGAAAGGGAGGGATTAAATCCTGAAATAGACCTCCCCACCATAATCTCTGTTTCCTGGACTTACATAAGAATAGCAGCGCGCGTGTGTGCACACGTGTCTGTGCGCGAGTGCGCGTGCTCAACCAAGGAAGAATCATTTTTCCGTCTCCCTTCTGCTTTAGGGTGTTGTTGGTGGGGAATGACGCTCTGCTAAAGAATTTGATGTGCTTAAGAATAACTATGGTTTCCGTCCTGGTTCTTTGTGTGCCTGGGGTGGAGATCTGGGCTGGTGAAGCCCTTTGTGTAAGAGCCATCCTGATGACCTTTGTGGTTCCGAAGGGCAAAGTGCCCTGGGGACAGATAGCCTGCGAGCAAGCAAACGAATGGGGCATGAAAGCCAGATCCCTCTGTAAGGCACTTGTGTGGGAAATAGAGGTTTTTCCTGGTGGGGAAATGAGATGAAGGGCCCTGGGCACTGAGCGGAGAGATGGAGGGGAAGGGTGTTTGTAGATGCAGAAGACAGACAGACCTCAGCAACGTGGTGGCTGCTGGGATGAGGAAAATTGACGGATAACATTCCATCACCTTCTCTGCTCTGGGATGCTAGAGTCCTCTTCCGGGACTGCCCAGCCTTTAGTAAAAAATAGATCTATCTATATGAGAAGGTGCACCTTGAGACTATTATAACATTGTATGTCAGTTATACTTCGATAATAAATTAACGAAAGAAGTCTGTGAGAAGGAAAAAATATAAGAGAATAGCATATTACCTCTCTAGCTAAGGTGATTGAGATTTGGATTCTAGATTCTGGAATGATCAGGAAATTGTGTGCAAAAGTGAATGGAAGAGATCTGTTTAAAAGCTGCAGATCAGTAGTGGCCATGGTGTAAATCCTCGACTTTAAAATGTTTCTTTTCTTTTTTTTTAAAACATGACCTGAGCTGAAGTCAAATGCTTAACCGACCGAGCCACCCTGTCGCCCCTAAAATGTTTCTTCATCTGTGATCTATAGGTTAAAAAGTCCGGTGGTTCTGCATGAATTATAATGAAAAACACCACCAGGCACCCCGATTCTAGTCCCCAAGAGGCAACCACTTTCATACTCGTGGCTCTTCTTCCAGTATTTACTTCCTAATTCTTCGTAACATGCTTATCCTTGTATTTCGCTGTGTCTTTTTCTTTCGAATGTTTAAATTACAGACATCAACTATTGATGGCTACTGTGGAAGATGAGAGTTTACCTCTTTTTTTTTTTTTTAATTTTTTTAATGTTTTATTTATTTCTAGGAGAGAGAGAGAGAGACAGCGTGAGCAGGGGAGGGTCAGAGAGAGAGGGAGTCACAGACTGAAACAGGCTCCAGGCTCTGAGCTGGCAGTCAGCACAGAGCCTGACGCGGGGCTCGAACCCACGAACCGCGAGATCATGACCTAAGCGAAAGTCGGATGCTTAACCGACTAAGCCACCCAGGCGCCCCGAGAGTTTACCTCTTTACCATCACCCTCATGTGCTTGTGCTTCCTCCTTTGTCTGATTATAATATACCTGATTTCTAGATTTTGGCTAGATCAATATCAGTGTCTGTGCTGTTATGATTATGTAAATGTTACCGCTGAGCCTTGAAATACATTATGATTGAATTTTCTTTTATAGCTTTGTCTCGCCTGAAGTTAGTGATTGCCTTGTATTTTATTTGTTTAGCTTTCTGCATGCTCATCATGAAGTTATTCTCTTGATGAGATCAGCCTATGGTCATCAGTCCTACTTTATTATGGAGAATCTTTTGGCTCCCTGCTCTGGCAGCCTTCACCCTCTGGCTTCAGTGTGGACTCTTTGTCCCAGGACTATTGCCAGCTGTTTTATTAGGAATTCTCTTGATGGGTCCTGTGTCTTCTCTTTCATGACTAATCCCTCATTTTGGTGGAGCACAACATGAGATATGGCTTCTTTAGAGAAGCCTTGATAGAAAATGCCTTAATTTGACCCTTACTTACACTTGACTCATGATTTGGGTATAGAATTCTAGCTAGCTCTCATTGTTGCTGGAGAGAAGTCCAGAACCGCTCCGATTCATGATCCTTTATATGAAACTATCACCCTTCCTGCCTGGGGAACTTTCAGGATCCCTTCCTTTTTTTTTTTTTTTAATTTTTTAAAAATGTTTTATTTTTTTTGAGAGAGAGAGAGACAGACAGACAGACAGCGTGAGCAGGGGAGGGTCAGAGAGAGAGAGACACAGAATCCAAAGCAGGCTCCAGGCTCTGAGCTAGCTGTCAGCACAGAGCCCCACACGGGGCTCAAACCCACAAACCATGAGATCATGAGCTGAGCTGAAGTCGGACGCTTAACCGACTGAGCACCCAGGCGTCCCTCAGGATACCTTCCTGATTCCTGATGTTCTAGAAGTTTACCAGTGATGTGCATTGGCCTGTGTCTCTGTCATTTGTTGTGATGGGCACTTCCTGGACTCTTTCGTCCAGACCCTTTTCCTGGACACACTGGTATCTGAAGGATCTGAAGCGGGCTGTGTCCTGACAGCAAAGAGCCTGATGCAGAACTCAAACCCACAGACCATGAGACCATGACCTGACCCAAAGTCAGATGTTCAACCAACCGAGCCACCCAGGCTCTGTGTCATGTTCTTATAGTCTCTTTTATAGATGCTTTTAATTTTGAGGTCCAGTTTAGAAATTTGTTCTGTTATGGATTTTGCTTTGGGTATTTTATCTAAGAAATCTTTGCCCAACTCAAACTCACAAAGATTTCTCTAAGAGCTTGTCTTCTTCTATGAATCTTATCTCTCTTTTGTTTTTAATTAATGCTTATTTATTTTTGAAAGAGAGATCATGCAAGCTGGGGAGGGGCAGAGAGAGAAGGAGACAGGATCCAAAGTGGGCTCTGCACTGATAGCAGACAGCCTGATAAGGGGCGCTCAATATCACAGACCGTGAGATCATGACCTGAGCCAAAGTCAGACGCTTAACCGACTGGGCCACCCAGGCGCCCACTTACCTCTTTTAAAAATATCATGGAGGTGGGGCACCTGGGTGGCTTAGTCGGTTAAGCGTCCAACTTTCGCTTAGGTCATGATCTCGCGGTTCGTGGGTTCGAGCCCCGCGTCAGGCTCTGTGCTGACTGCCAGCTCAGAGCCTGGAGCCTGTTTCGGTCTGTGACTCCCTCTCTCTCTGACCCTCCCCAGCTCACACACTCTCTCTCTCTCTCTCCTAGAAATAAATAAAAAACATTTAAAATATCATGGAGGTGATCCCTTCTCTGTCGCCTAAGAATACCACTTCCAGTTCTGTGATTGGTTTCTTTTTCCCTTAGTTTTCTTCTTTTGTCTATACTGTTTCTTCCTTTCACATGATTTCTGTTCCTCCCATTGATCATTTTGTTTTCTGGGATTTTTATTTTTGTTTTTGTTTTTTTAAGTTATCTCTATGCCCAACATGGGTTTCGAACTCATGACCCTGAGATCCAGAGTGTGCAACTGATCTACTGACTGAGCCAGCCAAGTGGCCCTGGTCTCTGTTTTTTATGAAAGCTTTTCCTCAGGTGTGTGGTGTCCCTTGGCTGGTGTTAAAGGGCACACAGAGAAGCAGAGTGGGACTGTGGGTGCATCGCAGGCTCGTTGCCTCATGGCCTTCCTTTGAGTCCTGGCCATTTCATGGAGATCCCCCAGGGCGAAATCCTTCGGTGTGGCTTCCAGCGTCTGGGAGGTGGCTGGGGTCCTCCCTTCTCTGTGCAGAGTAACTCCCTCTGCTGCCCCGTCCAGGCTGAGCCTGGCTGCACCCACGACCCTTCTGGTCCACTGCAGAGACTGTATGTTGAATAGAAGGGTACTAAAAAAATCAGTGCCCTGCGGTCTTCCTACATGGAGATGGCCTGCTGATGGTTCACAGAAGATTAAATATATGCACCTGGCAAATATCCAAATAATGTAAAATGGTGAAAGTAAATCTCCCTCCTCCCCACCTTTCCCTGCATGGAGGTAATCCTCACCCTTCCTTGCTTCCTGTGGATCCTGGTGCTGGATAATATCTGTATAGTTTGTTTCCTCCACAAGCACAATAGCTGTTCTGCATCTCGCTGTGCTCATTTAGCTATTTGGGGGCTGATCCCTTATCAGCCGCGTAGATGGCGTGATCCTGTTTTAACAGCTGCTCTGTGTTCTTTTGATGTCCATGCCCAGGGGTGGATGTTGAGCCTTTGCTCTGGTGCAGGACACTGTGGCAGCTGTCTTTGGGCACATACTTCTGTGCACTTGTGTGGACAGACTAGTCTTGTAAATAGCTAGAAAGATCGTTGCTGGAAAACCCCACCACTGGAATTTTTGTCCAATATTTTCTTTGTCCTCTTGGCAGGAGAAGTAAGGCTCCTGGCGGCTGGGATTTAAAAAAATTTTTTTCTATATTTTATTTATTTCTGAGAGAGAGAGAGGCAGCGTGAGCAGGGGAGGGTCAGAGAGAGAGGGAGACACAGAATTCGAAGCAGAGCTGTCAGCACAGAGCCTGATGCAGGGCTCGAACCCACAGACCATGTGATCATGACCTGAACCGAAGTCGGACGCTTAACTAACTGAGCCACCAGATGCCCCCTGGCAGCTGGGATTTTAGACGAGGGGAGATGCACGTGATGGGCGTGTTCTGGGCCTAAACCAGCGCCTCACACTCCCTCAAGCCGCACATGTGCTGTCCAGGTGTATAAAACCCTTCGAGACGCCGTGGTGACCATGTACAGGACCGAAGGCCCCCTGGTCTTCTACAAAGGCTTGAACCCCACCTTGATTGCCATCTTCCCCTACGCCGGCTTCCAGTTCTCCTTTTATAGCGCCTTGAAGCACGTGCACGAGTGGCTCATGCCCGCCAAGGGAAAGAAAAACGGTAAGGTGGCCCTCACACGAAGGGAAGCCGGGTCTCCCCTGAACCCCCTCCCCCACGCCAGACCATCTCTTTCCGAACCATGTGGGAAATGAGGGCTTTCCGTCAGAAGCTAAGGCATCCCGCTCCCCACACCTTGCTCTGTGGTACACCCAGCCAAACAAACCAGGCCCGCCGCTTGGAGACCCTTCCTTTCTTTCGGATCTTGCTACCCCATCAGTGGCACCATTAATATTTATTTCTGACCCTGGTCGTGGTTTTCATTTTTGTCTGAGGTCCCACTTGCAAACAGCCTGGCTTTGGTTGTGTCTTTTGTTTGGGGAGGACGGGAAGAGCAGTGGGCATCCTGGTCCCTCCCAAGCCTTGACCCGAGTCACCCAGCAGACTGCAAGCCCCTTCTTCCGTTCCATCCTCATTGTCATTCTTCCCCGGCGTGGCTGTGTGTGGTTCTCAGATACTCAGGTGCTGGCGGGTCTTTGTGTCACGGTGGAGGCCTAGGCTCTTGACTTGAACTTGTCTGCCCCCGATTACACTTCTCTCCTTTATCCCCCTCAATCCCACTTTGATTCAGAGAACCTCAAAAACCTGCTCTGTGGCAGTGGAGCAGGAGTCATCAGCAAGACCCTCACGTACCCCCTGGACCTCTTCAAGAAACGGCTGCAGGTCGGAGGGTTTGAGCAGGCCCGAGCCACCTTTGGCCAGGTGAGCCATCCCCCTGCAGAGAGCTCTGAGTCTTATCCCTCACCTGCCCATTGGGCCGCATTCAGCCCTGGGGATCCCCAGACACGTGGGAAAGCCACACACACAGCCCCCGTGCATGTGGGCGCCGTGGGACGATCCAGGCGAAGGAGAGCTCGGTGTTTGCTCTTAAAAAGTGTTCAGTTCACTTTGGGCCAAAGAAGGGTCCCCAGAATGCTAAAGAACTCGGAGAAGGAGACTCCTACCGGCACATAGGGTTGTTTGCTTTATTCTGTAGGGGTTCCTGGGGAGGGGTGAATTAAATCTGACCAACCAATACATGTATTAGTTCTTCACCCAGAAGAGAGGCGTGGATGGAGTGGGAGCCAGGGTGAGGGAGGGAGCACTTCTTACTGGGGGAAGGGAAAGGATTGGGTTAGTTGTAATACATCTTCGTAGGACATTCAGAGAAGTCCAGTAGACGGAAAGATTAAAATCACACGTAATTCAACACTGTCTACACCTGCAGATAACAGTCAGGCAGAACCATCAGCCGTAGCTTTGTTTCTCTGCATAAACATACATGTATACATTTTAACAAATACGGAGCTGTTTACAAGGTTTTTATAACCTGTTTCCATTGTCCTCCTTTTTCCTCCTCGTCCTGAAGGGACGGTTTGAGTTGGGACAGTTGGTGAGAGCCCAGGGCAGAGGAGAGAGGCCCTGCTTCTAACAGACTGTGTGGCTAGTTTGGTGGAAAGACTGGGGGGGATGAGGGCAGATCAGGGAGGGAAGTCGAGGCCAAATGGAGCAACACCCTGAATACCAAGCCACGGAGTTTGGACTTGATTTCTCTTCTCTTCTCTTTTCTTTTTTTTTCCTTTTCTTCTCTTTTCCTTTTCTTCCCTTCCTCTCTTTTTTTTTTTTAAAGAAAGAGAGGGTACACTCAACATGGGGCTTGAACTCACAACCCTGAGATTAAGAGTTGCATGCTTTACCAACTGAGCCAGCCAGGCGCCCCTTGATTCTTCATAATATCACTGCCATCACCGCTGGGAGTTATTGGAGATTTGGAAGCAGCTGTGTCTTGGGGACGCCAGTCTGGCAGCAATGTGAGGTCAACTGAGAAGGCCAGACTAGAAGCTAAAGCTAAGAAGCTAAAGCCAGATTCAGATCCACTGCCCAAAGGGGACCGGGTGGGAAGCGGTAAAGGGTCCGAGGCACCTTTGGGAAGAGGGTCCTTAGGTGCTGCAGTCAGGAGGAGCTCTGTCCAGTGCTGATTTCCAGTTGCATCTGTTAAGTCTGAATTATCAGTCTATTTGGAAGAGAAAGCCAAGGTTAGCTACTTTCTGTCCTTTTTGCCTTGTCATTTCTTTGTCCAGCAAGTATTTATTGGGAGCCTTGATGTGGCGGGTGCCGGGCTGACAAGAGTAGAGGCGACACCCTGTGTTGGTCACTTGCTCTGCCCTCCGCCAAGTACCCTTCCTGTTCCTCTCCCCAGGTCCGCAGCTACAGGGGCCTCCTGGATTGCGCCCAGCAGGTGCTACGAGAGGAAGGCCCAAGGGGCTTCTTCAAGGGCCTGTCCCCCAGCCTACTGAAGGCTGCTCTCTCCACCGGCTTCGTGTTCTTCTGGTATGAGCTCTTCTGTAACCTCTTCCACTACATGAAGAAGGTGGACAGCTAGCCCCGAGGGCAGGAAGGGCGGCCTCCTGAAGGAAAGAAGGCTCATCTACGATCTCATGTTGCACTGTGAGCTGCTGCCCACTCCATCCCTGCCCGCTGGCATGGCTGTCACCAGAAGGGCAAGGAGAGCACATAGGACTTGGTCTGTGGGGACACAGCCACGCTGGTCTGAGGAGTTTGTGGTGGTTTCTCTGTAGCCCACGCTCACAGGAAAGGCAGCAGCTGCTACCCTGTGTTCTTAGCCCCTTCTGCCCGAGAACTGTCCCTGCTCTGGGTGGGGCCGCGGCTGGGTCATGAGGGCTGGGATTGGGCCCTTGGCAGGGGCCTGGTCCTCACACCATAGGCTCTTACTCCCGCCAGTTAATTTAAAACACATTGAAGCCAAAAGCACATTTCCTTAATCTCACTCCCATCTTGCCTTCCACCTCGCACACCTCCTCCCAGGAGGGGACTGTTGTTTTCCTCAGATTCCATTTTTCTAAGTAGTTGCATCCCTCACATAGCTCTGCTTCTAGTTCTGGGGGAAGAATTGGTCACTTTATAACCTCGCCCCCACCCCATCCCCAGATCTTCATGTCTCAACTCCCACTCAGGCTGTTCTCTCCCCTGGATGACAGAGCACAGCTGAGGGTCTCTTGGGGGGGGGGGAGGCGGGTCCCAGCAGCCCACAGGCAGTGGGGGAATGTGTTGATGGGGAGCTGTGGGTAAAGGTGGGGGCCCTTCCTCCCAGTCTACCTGGGATCACTCCTCTTCCGTGGGGTAGGGGCAGGCTTACAGCTGGGCCACTAGGCATCAGCTGCCCGTTCAGGGTGCCCCAAGGTGCTGTGTGTATCCTCCGTCACCCCCGAAGGGCCACAGCTCTGAAGCAGCCTTGTGAGCAGGAGGTAGAAGGAAAGGGTTGGACAGACAGCCTGTTGAGGGCACAGCTGGGGACAGGGGGTGTCAGCACAAGAATTTACAACATCTGCTCATCTGCACACAGAGGAGAGACTGCGCTTAGGGGGGCGGAGGTGGGAGGGAATCTACAAAACACAAGCACCACCCTTTCTACCCGGTTCTGCCCCCCTGCCTGCCCATCTGGGGCAGCCCAGCCTGCAGGGCTGGCTGTGCAGGGGTGCCAGCGCGGAGGAGCACGAGTCCCCTGCAGGACTTTACCCTGCTCTCAGTCTGGGATCTGACTGCAGCCTTTGCAGTGACTTAGGAGGAAGACATGGGCTGGGAGCAGGCCTGTGTGTCGTGGCCCTTGGACTCCTGTCATCAGAACTGTGTGGTCTCTGACCTGGGGCTTTGTGATGTGTCTGGGACCCTGAATCCTGAAGCTGCCCTGCTCTTGGCTGCTAATTATGAAGATCTAGGCTGTGGGTAGGGTTTTGGGAGCTGGAGGCCTGGGATGGGGCTGCAGGAAGGCAGCTGCCTGAATGTATTTTTAAAGAAATTCCACTTTAGTGGAATAAAGTACTCTTTATTCTTTTCATCTCTCCTACTCATTACTTTCTTTTGCTGCAGCTGTCCTTCCTCGTTCATGTTCTGGTGACCACTGCCACCAGCTCTTTTTTTTTTTTAATTTTTTTTAATGTTTTATTTATTTCTAGGAGAGAGAGAGAGTGAGCAGGGGAGGGTCAGAGAGAGAGGGAGTCACAGACTGAAACAGGCTCCAGGCTCTGAGCTGGCAGGCAGCACAGAGCCCGACGCGGGGCTCGAACCCACAAACCCCGAGATCATGACCCAAGCGAAAGTCGGACACTTAACCGACTGAGCCACCCAGGCGCCCCTCCCACCAGCTCTTTTAACCCGAGGAGAGAACTGGCAATAGGAAGTCGCCGTGGACACTTCTTGTCCCCACCATGAGAAGCAATTCTTTTCCAGCCCCTCTGGCTGCCCTCCGGCAACCCAGGGCAGATCTTGGGGATGGCCCTAAGCTGCTGGGCTGGCACTTCTTTCCCAGCCCCAGCGAAGACCAAGTTAAGGACTTGGCCAACTTTCAGGTCACCCCCAGTACCTCATGGGTCACAGGCTAGCAAGAGGGAGTCCTTATTCTTGGGCTGGTTCATTGGTTTTCAACTTATTTTATCAGTACCGTTTGTACTTGGAATAGGAGAGAAGGGGGTGGGGGAGGGCGGTGATCCAGCCCTTACAGGCACCCCTGCCTTCTCGCGTGGGGAGTAGGAGGCCACCACCTGGAAGGTCCTGCCCCTCCAGCCATCACTGCCCTACCTCCACAGGGTCATCCCCGGGGTTTCCTCTTTGAGTCTCCTCTTTGGAACCCGTTTTAACCCGAGCCCCAGGCGTTGGGACGGGATGGGACGCCACCGCTTGCTACCGAGGGCTTCCTGTGGGCCGAGGAGTAGGCCCCGCCCAGCGCAGATGAGTGAGGACAGAATGGAGACAGCGTCGAGGCTGTCCCTCGCAGTACGGCCACCGACCTCGGAAGCACGAGCGGTGAGGACAGCGTCCCCAGGGCTCCAGCAGATGGCGCTGGCGAGACCGCCCCGCCCATCCCGAGCCGGGCCCCGCCCCATCCACGCCTGGCTCCGCCCCGGCGCCGCGCTCGGAAATGACCTAAGCGGCTTCCAGGTCCGACCAGCCACTCCAGCTGCTGCCGCGCGGAGGACGGGGGGCGCGCGCATCATGCCCTCCGAGCGGCCTCCGGGCACGCGGGCGCGGCGCCGGCCCGGCAGGTGGGTCCCGGCGCTCGTGCCGCCTCTCTCGTTCGCCGGACCCCGGAAGGCGACCTTCCGCCGCCGGGCAGGGTGTTCCGGGTTTGGAGAAACTGCCTGGCTCAGGAGACCCCCAAGGTCGTCTCCTTTGACTAGCGTGGAGGCACCGCGTGCGACGAGGGGACTCCCACAGGGACCGCCACTGGGAGACGCGTCATCCCGCTCCCCTCTTTAAGAGGAAGGCTCCAGAATGGAGCTCAGGAATTGGGAGTCCTGAGTGGGCCGGGCCGGGTTTCTGTCGCTCGGGAGGCCAGTTTAACCAGTCCGTCCCTGGGAGAAGTTGGCCAGGACCGGGACAGTTCGGGCTCCGCACCCGCCCACACAGGCCAGGCCGAGGGCTGGAAGGGCGCGTTTGGGGACTGAGAGGGACTTGGATTAAAGCCGAAGAAGGGGTCAGAGACAGGAACTTGGAACCCTGCTGGGCCAGCTACCCAGCGTCCCCAGCCCGGTCATTCGCCCAAGTCTGCTGGGCCAGCAGCTCCCAGGCTGGTTTATACAGACAGAGCCGGTGCCCGATATACCCCTGTCCACGCCCCCGGCGCTGCGCACCCCACCCCAACACTGGTGTCAGCTGAGAACCCTGCCTCCTGTGGGGACTAGAGGGTAGGCACGTTCACCTTCACGCCTTTACTCTTGTGTAATCCCAGAAGCTACTAGGATTCTTGAACCGAGCAGCAGGTGCCTGGCTGGTGCCCAGTCTTAACCAGAAGCCAAACTTGGTGGGTGTTCTGCCAACCACTCGGTGCAACGGACTGGCTGGGAGCACCTGTCCCGGTGCGCTGGCCAGCCCTGTCCGGGGCCCGCAGGATCCGGATCGGAGCACCGCACTGCACACCTGAGGCCCCCCCCCCCCTTCCCCCTCTCCTCCCTAGGTGCCGTCATTAGTCCCACCCCAGTAAAGAACTGCTGGGGCTGGATGGTCATGGGGGAGCCTGCTAGAGAGGAGTACAAAATCCAGTCTTTTGATGCAGAGACTCAGCAGCTGCTGAAGACAGCACTCAAAGGTGAGCATGGGAGCCCTCCTGTGCAGAAAGGCCCCAGGGGTCAGGCCTGGAGCCCCGAGTCTTAGCCCAGAATGTCCAGCTGTCCCTTTGCTTTCTGAGAACAGGAGTCAGCAAATCACTCTTGGACTGGAGAACAGGCTACATTTGGGCCAGTGTTTCAAGTATGAGTCAAAGTCCCCTCTCAGGCACTAAAGCCTTTTTTAAAGTTCAAGTACGCTGGAGCAAAGAGAATGGAGTTGCCTCCTGAGCCCTGACATTGGGCCAAGTTTCAGCCACGGGAGGCTGTCTTGAATGTGTGGTGCTGGCTGACTTGGGAGAGGATGAAGTGTAATTGGCAGAGATGCAGTAATTGGCCTGGATCTGTGCCTTCTGCAGCACTCAGAAGTTTGACTCAGCTAACAATTAGTAATGCCCAGCACATGCCAAGCTAAGCCTGTTGGGGAGGCCCTGCCTGGACCGCTCTTGTCAGGGTTCACATGTGTGTATTTAAGAACACCTTCTTCCGATGTGGTTTATCTATACCATGGAATACTACATGGCAATGAGAAACAATGAAATCTGGCCATGTGTAGCAACATGGATGGACCTTGAGGGTGTTATGCTGAGCAAAATAAGTCAGGCAGAGAAGGACAAATATCATATGTTTGCACGTATAGGAGGATTAGGAGGAACTTAACTGAGGATCATGAGGGAGAAGAAGGGGGGAAATGGTGGAGGAAAGGGAGAGAGGCAAACCATGCCATGAGAGACTCTTGAATGCTGACAAAAACTGAGGACTGATGGATGTGAGGGGGAGGGGGGATGGGCATGGAGGAGGGCACTTGTGGGGATGAGCACTGGGTGTTACATGGAAACCAATTTGACAATAAACTATTTGTAAAAAAAAAAAAAAAAAAAATGAATGGGGAAAAAAAATACCCCCCCCCCCCAAAAAAAGAACACCTTCTTCCATGAAATTGCTGTCAAATACTTTCCTTCCTCAGCCAGGAAATGATGTGTGCCCTAAAAAAAAAAAAACAAACCTGGCATTCTTTCATTAGAGTCTGTAGTGGCCACATAACCCTTCCGGTTTCCTCCGAGTGTGCCAAGCTGCTCCTGTGTGTGGTTACTTCTTCATGTATATTCTGGTCTCTTTAAATGTTAAAAGTATAACGGGAGTGCTCTTTTGTAAATACCTCCAGCCCGTTAGAAGCAAGTAGAGGCAAATGTGGTAATTCAGCAGCTCTGGATTCCCACCTGTCTCTACCCTAGATCCAGGTGCTGTGGACTTGGAGAAAGTGGCCAATGTGATTGTGGACCATTCTCTGCAGGACTGTGTCTTCAGCAAAGAAGCAGGGCGCATGTGCTATGCCATCATTCAGGTTGGCTGGGACTGGTAGAGCGGAAGATGCTTTGGGAAAGACCTCAGCAGAGGGCAGGAAGCCTGGCCAGCAGGGCAGAGATGCACAGGGCTTCCCTCGGGGTGGAGAGAGACGGACAGGAGGGCCCTCTGCCTGCCACCGGAGCTTGGGTGAGGGTTGCCACGGCACTGCCCTCTGCTCACCATCCTTTCCCTGGCTCACAGGCTGAGAGCAAGCAAGCAGGCCAGAGTGTCTTCCGACGGGGACTCCTCAACCGGTTGCAGCAGGAGTACCAGGCTCGGGAGCACCTGCGAGCCCGGTCCCTGCAGGGCTGGGTCTGCTACGTCACCTTTATCTGCAACATCTTTGATTACCTGAGGGTGAGGCCCTGGTAGGCACCCTGTGAAGAAGACAGCCTGTCTCCTTCAGCCACTAAACCAGTGCTCTGGACCCCTCTCCCCACACAGGTTAACAACATGCCCATGATGGCCCTGGTGAACCCCGTCTATGACTGCCTCTTTCGGCTGGCCCAGCCTGACAGTCTGAGCAAGGAGGAAGAGGTGGGTGACCCAGGTTCAGACGGCTGGGATGGGGGGGGGGTCCCCGGATGCCTATTGTCCGTGGAGGCATCTGAGAGCATCACTTCTTAGGGGACATGCAAGACCTGTCTCAGTTCCAGAACACAGAGCAGCCAAAACCTACAGGCTCAGAGGCGCTGTTCCCAGTAGGAAAGCCAACCTGTGATAGGAATCCAGCTGTGGATACAGATGGCCCAGAAACCCAATCGGTCAGGCAGGCGATGGGAGGGGTGGAAAAGGCTGGGTTAAGTGGCAGGTTAGACCGGGCCTGCTTCCGGCCTGGCCCAAGAGACCTTAGGCAAGTCCTGAACTTGTGTCGTTTCATGTAAAATGTGGCTAATACCCAGCGGGTGGTGTGAGGAAGACAGGAGAAAAGGAGCGTACGTGGCTGCTCTGTGATGGGCTGGCCCTGCCTTGGGGGTCACCTCCCACTACCCCCCGCCAGGTGGACTGCCTGGTGCTCCAGCTGCATCGGGTGGGGGAACAGCTGGAGAAGATGAACCGACAGCGCATGGATGAGCTCTTTGTCCTAATCCGGGACGGCTTCCTGCTCCCAAGCGGCCTCAGCTCCCTGGCCCAGCTGCTGCTGCTGGAGATCATTGAATTTCGGGCGGCCGGCTGGAAGACAACCCCGGCTGCCCACAAGTATTACTATAGCGAGGTCTCCGACTAGGCCTCCTGATCAGGCTGCCTCACCAGAAGCACCAGCCTCTCACCTACCCAACTCCCTGCCTCTCCCAGACTGTCCCTTCCAGACTTTCAACAGCTCCTGAGTGGTTTTCCCACTTCTGCTGTGGTCCTGCCCTGAGCACCTTCCCTCCTGGATTCAGGAACTGGGGAAAACACCAAACAGTCCTGCACCCCCCACCCCCAATCACCTCCAACCTGGGCCAAGCAGAGAAAGGCAGCTTCTAACAACCACTGCACTGTGTAGCCACTGGCGCAACAGCCATCTTGGTGCCTCAGTTTCCCCATCTGCAAAATGGGTCCCCCATAGCTACTGGTGGGATACTCTGGGATATCAGGGGGCAGAGCACAAGTCACACCAGAAAGTGCTTTTTACATTTCATACAAGGACCACTTCGGAAACATCCATATTTCTAGTCGGTTTTAGTAAATGGCGGCACCCCATCACACACTACACCAGTTCAGGGTGAGAATTTTCTAATAAAGCTTTTCTAACATTAAAACTGCTTCCTTTCATATCATCCTAACTTCTGCCCCAAATCGAGGGGGAGAAGGTGGATGGGCCCCAGGTTTCCTGTGGGAAACCTAAAGTGGTTATGTTCCCTCTTAGTAAGCAGATGGGATAAGAAGAGCAAGTTCTAGGCCCCAAAGAAAGGACTAACAAGCAATAAATATGTTGTTCCATCCTTATGAGGCTTGCCTGCCCTGAAAAAGGAACTGCATCCTTAACCGTCAAGTGTTTCCTTACTTCCCGCAGCACAGAGCTGCGGGCTCCTCCCAGAGCCCCTCGCCTCCCGCTACCACCAGCGGTAGTGAGCCAGCGCGCGGTTGGCCTCGGCCATCTTGTGCATGTCATGCTTCTTCTTGATCACGGGGCCCTGGTTGTGAAAAGCCTCCAGCAGCTCATGGGACAACTTCTCGGGCATCAGCACCCGCCGGTGCTTCTTCTCCCGGCACTCGGTAATCATCCACTTCATGGCCAGGAAGCGACGGCGCCGGTCGGCTAGTGGCACGGGTACCTGGATGAGACAAGACGTGGGCAAGTTAGTCCAAGAACTTGTCAGGGCTGCAGCCTCCTTCCTGCCTGAGCTGTAAGGAGTAGCCACGCTTCCCTTCTTCTGAGTTACTCCCACCCCTGGGCGACCTCAGCGTAGCAGACATAGGGGCATTCACTGAGCAAACACTCATTAAGCACCAACCTCTTTCACCTCTAAATGGAAGCTCAGCCAAGTTGATATGAACATCAACTGGGAAAAGCCCCATCAAGCTGGGGTGACTCTGCTAACTCAGATCCCGGGTGCCTAAAAACATGATCCTCTTGTCCAAAAACCATCTGCTAAACCACCACTATATACCAGGTACCACGCGAGACCCTAGGGACACGGTCATTAAGGAAAGTCTCTTCCCTCATGAAGTTTACATGAAAAAAGCAGATGAGAACACTGGCTTATTACAGTGACGTACAATTAAGTGGGATAACAGAGCCCTCGATCGGTTCAGAAAATGGTGATGGAGCATCAGTTATGGGTCAAGCGCTACTCTAGACACCGGTATATGAAGGTAAGTTATAAACAGTCCACTCACAAGAAGCTTACAATTTAGAACAGAGCATAACGGACAGAATGCGGGCAGGGCAGATTTCCAGAAGAAGGAATTCTGATGCTCCTTTGGTCTCTTCCCTTCTGCCTGTGAGCTTTACACTAGGACTCTGGTGAGCAGACTCTGACAGAACCTAGTCTCTATAAAACTGTCCATCTTGGTCTAATTCTGGACCCTCCCACTCCCAAGCACTTCCCGCCACCATCTTGTTTCACGGGTGGGCAGCCCTGCTTTCCAGCCCTGACCACTCACTTGGTAGAAATGCCCACCTCTGAGGATGGGTACCAGCCCAATCACAGGCTCACAGTTTTTCAGTGCCTGGTGGAAGATGGTATAGGGGTTGCGTTCGATGGTTGCCCGTTCCTCCGCAGAGGCAGCATGGTACTTCTCAAACTGCTTCCTCTTCACAGCTTCCAGAGTCTGCAAAGGCATACACTCAAAGACACTGCCCCAGGCTCCCTAAAGGGTTTCCCCAGCTGAGCCAGTACCTTGCCCTTTACCCCTCCCATCCTGCTCTTCTACAACAGTGTGGCTCCTCTCTCACAACTTATAAAGCACGTTCCTAAGTGCCTCTCTCTTTCCTGAGTGAGGACCAGGCAACAGGCCAAGATTTGGGACTGGGGAAGTGAAAGGTAGTGGCCAACTCCTGCAGGATTTATTAAAGCTGCCACCTCCACAAATATCTAGAGAAGGTCATTCTAACGGCAGGTACGTGAAGCTGTACTTTTTTATGCCAAAGTGAAAGCCACATATAAAGTTGTAAGAAAGCAGACTGGAGACGTGCTGCTCACCTGCGTCATGAGGGATCTGGCCAGGACTTTGTTTCCTCCTTTCATTATCATGTTGGTGAATTTACTTCAAGGAGAAAGGCAACACATTTAGGTTTCCAAGGCCTAATTCCACAGAATCCTAACTGTAGACCCTCCCTCCTATCGTGGCACGAAAAGTATTTGCCTCCGCCTAACCTGATCACTGGGTCATCAAACACAGAGCTTGTTTTCGTCGCTGGGGCAGCTTTGATGTGCTGAGTCTTCCTGAGTTCCAGGTCATACTTCTCGTGCTCCGTCAGCTCCGCCAACGGCTTGCGGTAATATTCTTTGTCAATCTGTGGATCCTTGTATTCAGGACCATAGCGGCTCCACCTCACCTGGGTTAGCCTGCGAGGGGAGGAAGAGGAAGAGGCGGGGAAGAGCTGACCCCCACAAGAGAAAAGGTCTTACTTAACAATAGGCATGTTTGCCAACCCGCTGGCGGGAGAGGCACGGAGACCGTTAGGCAAACCTGAACGCGGTAATTCTGGCTCTTGTCCCAAGAGGTAAGTAAACTCCTCCCCCGCCCCCAAAAGGCCAGAAAAGTCTCCTCCAAGTCAAGTGCCAACGGGAAGAAGAGGCTCCTGAACCACATTATAGGCGCCCCGACTAAGCGTCTCCCCCCCACCCCCACCTCTCCCAACACAGAAAATTACAGCGCTGAGCTCTTTCGTAAGACCGCGCTTCCAGCTTCGAATTAGAATCCCGTCGCGCGGGGAACAATCACTAAACCTTCACGCTGGCCCAAAGTCACACAGCTAATTCAGAGGCTTGGACCCAGTGTCCCGGCCCGCAGGCTCCCTCCAGGTCCCCGCACGGTCCGCCTGCGGTCCTTTCGTTCCCGGCAGGTCTCTCCGTGAAGACGCAAGCGGCCCCCCCAGCTTCCCGCAGTCCTCTTACCCTGGAAGCCGCAGGAGACGATTCCGCACGCCAAGCGCCAGGACCGGCCACCCTCGCGCAGCCTTCACCGAGGGCGCAGCCATCTTGGCTGGCCACGAGGACCCTACGGGGGCTGTCCTCGGCGTGCCCGAGCGAGTGACGCCAGACGGGGAAAGACTCCTCAGGGTCCTAAATCTGTGCGTCACGCCATTAGTCCGGAGTTAAGAGTTTCTCACTCAGAGGTCCAAAGTGAAGAATCAGAAGGAAACATTCGGCTTCTCGTTCGTCGCAGTCTGATTCGACCCTCGGCGGCGGGGCGCTCTCTTCTCAGGCCCCCATGCAGGCCCCGCCCCGGCTCATTTCTTGCCGGTTCTCGCGAGGTTTGAGGCCGCAGGGCCGGCCCGGGAGGCTGCAATATGGCGGAGGCGGAAGGGGAAAGCCTGGAGTCCTGGCTGAGTGAGTAGCCGCGGCCGCTTCTGTCTGCTTCCGTCTATCCTCGAGCCCCCTTGCCGCCCCCCGCTATCTCCCTCCACCTTCCCCCAGGGTCCCGTGGCGGCGTCTCCGAGCGGCTCGCGCTTCGGCTTGCCCTCGCCGCTAGCCGTCAGCGATCACGCCCCTTCCCCAGCAGGGCGCCCCGGCCCCCGCCCAGCGCCTCCTTCCACGGCCGCGCGCGGCAGCGGCGGCGGGACCTCCGTCCTGTCCGGGCCCCGCGGGTTCCGGGGAGCGGCAGCCAAGTGCTCCCGGCTGACGTGCATCGGCGGTTTGGGGAGACTGCTGTGGGGACCCGCGTCTCAGACCCCCGCGCCTCCGTCTCAGACCAAGAGAAAACCCGCGGCTTTGGGCGCCGCCGAGTATACACACACAGCTTCAGAATTGCGACAGTGTATTTGAGAAGTGGCCGCTTCGCTGAGGTAGAACGTTTGAAGTGAGAATAATCCGAAGTAGGATAAAGAACAAAGCTCTATTCTTTTCCTGCAGCGGCCAGAGCTCGGTTATGTCTGTGTTGGAGACACACACACTTGAGCACCTTCACGAGTCATCGTTGATAACGTACCCTGAGCAAAGCCGAGGAACACAGCCTAGTGCTGTAGTTAGAGCGGCCTATTGCTCTGCTTGCTAAATCATATTGCTGCCGAGGAAATACAGGTTAACCTTGTTAGCAGGTAGTACTCTGCTGAAGGGTTAATAAGTCAACTTTCCTATAGGTCCCTGGAGGTCCCTTTAATTGAACAGAATGATAAGACAGGATGCCTAGAGATTGCCTTGTGCAGAGATCTCTTATTTACCAGAGCCTCCAGGCTGTTTCCTCCAATGGCCTGACCTTTCTTTTTTTTTTTTTTTTTTTTGGCCTGACCTTTCTTAAAAAGAAACCCCCTTCAGGTTGTTGAACCCAGGTTACATTTGCAAAATCTGCAGTTGCAGGCAGGTCACAAAGTCTTCTGTATATGTGGAACTGTTCTCTAAGGAGCTCAGAGCGCCCCGAAGACGCTCGTTTAATGCATCTATAAAGTATCCTAGCGAAGCAGGTACTAATGGCACCACTTCGCTGAAGGAGGACGCCCCGACTCTAATCAAACCACTTGTCCAGAGATACCGAACCAGATATAGATATGCCTACACTGGAATTGGTTTTGGTTTTTCAAGTTTATTTTGAGAGCGAGAGAATCCCAAGCAGGCTCTGTGCTGTCAGGGCAGGGCCCGTCACAGGGTTCGATCCCAGGAACAGTGAGATCAACCGGTGCTGAAATCAAGAGTCCGATGCCCACCTGACTGAGCTACTCAGGAGCTCCTGGAATTCGTTTGATTCATGGATATAAATAGGGACATTGGAGTAAGTTGACTTCAGCTGCGTTCAATAGGCTAGATTTAGAGTTATGTTTTGAAATAGAGGGACAGACCTGTTTTTGAGGGAGAGTGGAGGTTGTGAGTGGGAGAGAGACAGTGGTGTCTGCAGACGCTAGAGCTGAGACGGGCCTTTGCTCTTTCCCATTAGTTAGAGTGACATTAGGGGCAGTGTTCAGAGTCCTTCCATTCTCCTCCATCGTTCACCTTCACAGTTCTTGTGGCTTATTGGTGTGAACTTGGCCAATTGAATGAACCAGTGCTTGGAGTTCAGCACTATGTTAGTCTAGGTCCTTGTCACTCAGTGGATTGCCCCTGCTTACTATAGAAGCTCCTGCTGAGCCCAGTGCTTCAGGTGTCTCGCCTTTTCCCCTCTGTCCACTCTGCATTCTGCTCCCAGAAGAGCACTTCTGTGTAATCGGATCTTCCCACCGCCGCACACCTCCTGACGCCCCTTGATGGCTTCCTAAGAGTCTTCTTGGCTCTGCTAAGTCAGATGCTTTTGTCCCAGCAGCACACATTGCTCACCTTTCCTGGGAGCGCCATTCCCCTTTGCTCAACAAAATGCTTTAAGACCCATCCCAGATTCTCCTTGCGCACGGACGGTCTCCTGATGACTTCAGCCTTTTCTGAACTCCTGCTATTACTATAACTGGTCCATAAGAAATACCTGTTATGTGAGGTATTATGAAAATTAAGTTCAATCTGTCTTTGCCGTAAGTTTGGTAAAGGTGATCCTGGAGTGGATAAAGCATTATTAGAAAGATACACGTACAAGGCAAGAACTGTATATGCTAAAACGCAGGCAGTTTCTTTAGGAAATTGGGGATATGTAAAAAAAAGTGGAATGGAAACATGATCCTCTCAGTGAGGAGGTAGCATCTGAGCCAGGCCGTAAAGACTGGGGAAAACTGGCTAAGAAAACACTAGATGGTAATGCAAGTAGAGAAACCGTGTTTGGGGCATACAGGAACAGGTGTTTGGCTGGTTCAGGCAGGGAGTTCCAGTAGGGGTGTGGTGGGAGAGAAAGCTGGGCAGTTAGAACCAAATTCTGGAAAAGCTGGAATTCCAGCTCAAGAAGCTTAAATTTCGACGGTTATCAGGTCCCCCATTCTTACCATCTCTCATGAAATCAGTGTTTTTTACAAGGGTCAGTATAGGGCTTTTAGAAGAGATCGCCAGGAGCCAAAGTTCTAGAAGCAGGTGAAGAAGAGGGTGGAGTGGGGCCAGAGGTAAAAAAGGAAGGAAGAGATTTAAAAAGATTTTGAGGGGGCACCTGGGTGGCCTAGTTGGTGAAGCATCTGACTCTTGATTTTGGCTCACAGTGAGATCAGACCCTGTGTCGGGCTCTGTGGTGACAGTGCAGAGTCTGCTTGGGATACTCTCTGCCCGTTCCCCGCTTGTGCTTGCTGGATAAATAAATAAACCTTGAGAAGGAAGGGACCCTAGATTCATGGAAACGGGTAAGAGAGGAGGAGTCAGCAATGGGGGTTCAAATCCGGATGCCTGGGTGTGGGTGCAAAAGGAGCTTTTGAATGATGGCACCATTTTTCCTTTAAGTTTTTTAAATGTTTTATTTATTTTTGAGAGAGAGCAAGCACACACGGGAGAAGGGCAGAGAGGGAGGGGGACAGAGGATCCAAAGCGGGCTCTGTGCTGACAGCAGTGAGCCCAATGTGGGGCTTGAACTCATGAACTGTGTGATCATGACCTGAGCAGAAACCAAGAGTCAGACGTTCAACCGGCTGAGCCACCCAGACAAGATGCCGCATGATAGCACCATTTATAGAAATGGGGAAGTCAGGAAGGAGAAGTAACGAGCTTGTTTTTAAACTTGCTTCTGTAGCAGATCATATAAGTACACTCTCGTTTTTTGCTCTGGTTATTTTGCCCGTGTTGCGCCAGAAGAGTATAACCCCCCTAAGGGCAGGCTCTGAGTCTTGGGCTTTTTCTTTAGTCCCTCTATGGCCAAGCGTGCTCTGTACTTGGTTCCCCTTTAGTTATGTTATTGATTGAGTGAATAGTATAGTACAGTATAGTTGATCTGTGTACTCAATTTTCTGTGGGCGCTTAAAGATTTGGTGACTACTGCTCTCTTCATTCAAGACCCTCGCACTGAAGGCTCATTCCTGATTGCTCTTCCATCCCATATCTTGCCTCTCTTAATCTCTAAGTCATGTGTTACATAGACCTTGTGGTCTGTGAAATGTTTGAGCTGTGTTGGGACTGGGCAGCCAGTGTTGCCCCTACTTGAACCATCCCCACTTGACCTTCTGAGGCCCCACAACAGTCAAGACTAGTGTTGGAACAAAGCTGAAAATGAGAGCAGGAAATCTGGATGTACAGACACACAAGAGAATAAGGCTTTCAAGAGAGACCCGAAAATAGAAACCTTGCGTCCAAGTAGAGTCCAGGGCCTGTTCTAGGTGGGGTCGACAGGGGAGGCTGTGGTGTCACCTCTGTGCCAGGTAATGGAGCTTGTTGAGTGGGTGGAAAGTTGTATGCGTCTGCGGGAGGGAGGCAGTGGGCAGATGGAGAGATCGAGTCACCCAGAAGAATCCCCAGAGTTTTCCTCCAGTGCCTAAGGCTGCTGTGGTCGGCTTCCTGCGTAGGCTGGGGAGCTGGAGCGGATACCCAGACCTGGGACTGACCGTTGCTGACACTGGGGCTTTTTGTGCCCATGTGTAGGCAGAGAGCTCCCTGCAGAGTTGCGGTAGAAAGGTCTGTCGAGGTGAAAGGAAGTGAGATTCTGGAGAACTTGAACCCAGGTGAGAAGGGAGTGGGCGTATACTTGGAAGCACAAGTGCTACAGGAGGCCTGGAGAGAACACATGTGGCGAAGGCCCATTGCTCATGCACGTGGGGGGGAGGGGCATCCACGCGGCACTCCCCGCCATCCTTTTCCAGTTGTGAACAGTGCGTCTTACACCATGAGGTACGAGACTCTTCTCAAAATAATAATAGCGATGGGAGGGGTATGGCTCCTCAGACCATCTTATTTTTGTATCCTTCAGCTTCTTGATGTCACATGAGAACTTCAAGCATCTCAAAAGATGGGGATTAGTAACAAAGCCACTCTAGCACCTGAGAAGATACCAGACAACCAGTGAGAGAAACGTGGGGCTTCTGGAAGGTGACAGCTCGTAGGTCACCATGGCAATAAACAGCTACTCTTGATAGAATTAATCCGCTTCCTTTTTAGCTTGACCTTTTAAAGGGTCTGTTAATTCTCTCTTTATGTTTGAGGACAGACATTTCTCTTTTCCTCCAAATATGAACCCAAAGCATCAGAATCTTCTTGCAGTCAGAGCAAGGCACGTGTCTGCGGGGGCTGCACGCCTTCCCTCCGCCTCTGGGTGGCGTCTGCTGACTTCTTGTATCTCAGAACCCTGCTTTGCGGGGGAGGGGGGGATGCTGGGATGCCTTGTTAGGATTTGGTCTTGGAGCAAGTGATTTTTAATGTTCGGAAAAGGGAAGTTAAGAACACAGTCACGAGAAACCAGAATTCAGGAACTTCTGACAACGTCCCTTGTGCGGCGGGGCTTCCTCTAGGTTCTGTTGCCCTGTTTTTGGCGTTTGCGGAAATGCGCGGGAGTATGGGATTTAAAAAGGATATACGCCTTCAGCCTTCCTTTCGTCTTCTGAACCTGAAGCCCTAAATTTAGCAAACAGCTTGAGAGTGCTTTCTGGAAGAGGCGTACTCCCAAGATCTGAATCAGAGGTGGGAACACACTTCACCACCCCAGCGAGGTCTGGGGATAACAGAGGAAAGGGGGCCTCGCCAAATATTGGGAGACTTAACATTTAGCACCTGGATTTTAAACCCGCAGTGATCCTCTGAGAACTCTCCGGCGCTTGTCTTTGTCCTTAATCATAGGAGATCACTTATTTTATTTTTATTTTCAAAAATAATTGTATATTTCTTTTATTTTGAAAGAGAGAGAGCAGAGGAGGGGCAGAGAGAGAGAATCCCAGCAGGCTCCTCGCTGTTTGCACAGAGCCAGATGTGGGGCTCTAACTCACAAACCAAGTGATCACCACCTGAGCTGAAATCAAGAGTTTGACGCTTAACTGACTGAGCCACCCAGGTGCCCCTGTTGAAGGCCATTTGAACCAGAGGGTGCTGAATGCTCAGGTTCACGTTCTGTGTCCGCGGTCCTGGGGATGGAGCACAATGGTTGTTTAGTAGCAGCTCAGTAAATATTAGTAACTTAAGGTGATGAGCATTATGTACAACTTAAAAAACATTTAAAGCATTAAGGAAAGTTAGGTCTTGAAAGAATTTTTGAAGGGCACATAGGAAATAAATTTCCTAAGTATATATATTTTTTATCAAGTATCACCTGACTTTAATTTTTCCGGGAAACACTTCTTGATTCTCCCTACTTGCTTAATAGCTTATTTTTACGTAACTAGTTATTTATACTTATTTGTTACATCAAACATTTTTGCAGATGTCAGTTTGAAGATTTTTATCATTTGTGTTTATAATTAATTCTTTTTTACTGTCGACTGTGGTCAACTCTAAACTTCCCAAGGCTGAGAATTTGTTTTCCCTTTCGTCTGTGACTTTCAAAATACCGGACTGACCTGTTGAGGGTTCTCTTATCAGAAAAGAAATTTGGAAACAAACCTAGCTTCACATCAACGCCTAAAAATTGTTGGAACACTTTCCATTGTGCCCTCAATTGTCCTTTGCTTTGCTCTGTCCCAAGATAAGGCCACCAATCCTTCCAACCGCCAGGAGGACTGGGAATACATAATTGGCTTCTGTGATCAGATCAACAAAGAGCTTGAAGGGTGAGTCTCAAAGCTGTTGGGGGGCGAGCGGGAGAGAGCTGACTGGAGAAGTCAAAGTGGGCCACGGAAGGCCAGCCATGTGGCCCCAGGGTCAGCGCCTGAAAGCGGGGTCTGCTTGTCTCCCAGGCCACAGATCGCTGTCCGGCTGCTGGCCCATAAGATCCAGTCTCCACAGGAATGGGAGGCAGTCCAGGCCCTGACGGTATGTGGTTCATTGCAACCGTGGATTTCAGTGAGCCCAGGCCTTTCCTCATGCGCCCACTGGGTTCTCCGAGGTTTTCAGGACTCACATCCTAAGGCAGCTGGAAGTCCCCAATACTAGGTCTATCTGGAGCGCATTATGTAAACACCAATGTGTGTGACTGAAGTGCAGCCCCCGCACCACGGCTGCCGGTCTAGCGGGAGAGGCTGAGTGGCTAAGGGAGGGACCCAGAGGCAGGGGCCCTGAGTGCCTCTGAGGGGCCCCAGGGTGGGGCCCAGAGGCAGCTTCTTGAAGAGACGCTGGCAGCTGTCTTGCCAGTTAAGACTTAGCCAACTGAAGAAAAATGAAGCAAGTAGAAGTTATTCTGTAGAGGGGCGCCTGGGTAGCTTAGTCGGTTAAGCGTCCGACTTTCGCTTAGGTCATGATCTTGCGGTTCGTGGGTTCGAGCCCCGCGTCGGGCTCTGTGCTGACTGCCACCTCGGAGCCTGGAGCCTGTTTCAGAGTCTGTGACTCCCTCTCTCTCTGACCCTCCCCTGCTCACGCTGTCTCTCTCTCTCTCCTAGAAATAAATTAAAAAACATTAAAAAAAAAAAAAAAGTTCTGTAGCTAAAAGCGATGCTAGTTCCTGCTGAAGGCACCACCGGCAGGCGGGGCTTCGAGTTCATTCAGACTAAGAGGGGCCAGTGCGGCGCTGAGCCAGAGTGCGGCCCAGCTCCCCGGTCTCCCAGGTTCTGCCCCAACCCGTCCAGGCCGTGGGAAAGGCACTCAGACGGCCCACGTGCACACCTCTGTCGCGTTCACTGTAGAGAGAAAGCCTTAGAACAGTGCTTCTCAGTCTGGGGAGGGTGTCCTCTCCAGGGGACGTCTGGCAGTGTCCAGAAACACTTTTGGGTATCACACATCATGGGGCGTCACTAGCATCCAGTGGCTAGAGGCCCCCATTGCTGAACATCTAATAATGTACAGGACGGGCTTCCACAGCAAAGAACGGCCCAGAATGTCAGTAGCGGTGTAGTGGAAAACCCCTACTTTACAAAGTCGAAAGCCACAAAAGGGAATGTGGGGCCGGAGGGGTGGGAGGGCTCCATGGCATCAAGTGCAGGCTCCAGGGCCACAGGCAGCGCAGAAAACTGACGGTAGTTTATGTGCCTCGGAAGGAAAGTCGGTGGGAGCAGGGAGGGCAAATATCCTGCCCTTGAAAAAGAGAACTGTTTAAATATTATCTTCCATCTTCCCAAAACATTGATCAACTTCTAGAAAGAGCCCTGGAGCCAGAGTCAGAGAAACTTTCTGCCTCTGGGCCTGTTTCCTCATCTAAATGACGAGGGTAGAATCTTAGAAGCAGGCACCTTCTACACCACACGTTCACTGTCTTGGTTGGTATCTGAGTCTCAGTGTTTGTTTTTTTTCTTAATGCTTTTTTAAAAATGTATATCTGAGAGAGACAGCGTGAGCAGGGGAGGGTCAGAGAGAGAGGGAGTCATAGACTCTGAAACAGGCTCCAGGCTCTGAGCTAGCTGTCAGCACAGGGCCCGACGCGGGGCTCGAACCCACGAACCGTGAGATCATGACCTGAGCCGAAGTTGGACGCTTAACCGACCGAGCCACCCAGGCGCCCCTGGGTCTCAGTGTTTCTTTTTTTAGTTCCTGTTCGGCTTCCCCGGAAGAGAGGTGTGCAGTTCGAGGGGCCTCAGGTGTCGGTGATTCCGTTGCCCTGATGCTCTGGGCATGGCGGCGGGGGGCAGTGCACATAAACTTCCCGACCAGTTTCTTCCTTGCGAAGGTTTAGTCACTGTGACCTGTGTGCAGGGTCCTGGCTGAGCGCCTCCCCTTCGTGTGGCTGTAGGTGCTGGAGGCCTGTATGAAGAACTGTGGCAGGAGATTTCATAATGAAGTGGGGAAGTTCCGGTTTTTGAATGAGTTAATCAAAGTCGTCTCTCCGAAGGTCAGTCAGTGGCCGTCTTCTCATTTCTAGGAACTCCTTCTGTCTTCCTCCCCCTGTGCCGTCACCGGCTTCACCGTGCAGCCGCCATCTCCACACCTTGTCCTTAGAGAGCTAGGCCCTGAGGGTGGCAGGGTGGCCCTGAGCCCACTGGACAGGCAGCCCTCTGATGGACTCCTGACCTAAATGTGACAGGTGATGTGGCAGCAGGTGTTGACGCGCACCTGGGGGAAGCTCCTGGGACAGCAGCCACTTTTCTTTGGTCTGTCGTCCATAGGCTTGAGGAGTTACACTTCTCCTCACGCAGCCGCTCAGCGTCTGTGGCTCACTGGTGTGGCTTCAGCTCTGGGCGCCACTTAAAGCACAGGGAGCAGTTTTTCATACTTAAGACGCTCCTTGATGCCTCTGAGATAAAATGCCATTATTTCTGGGAGATCGTGCATGCAAACCCAGTGGTGAGCCTCCGTGTCACACGCACCTGACGCCTGCTGCTCTGGGGCGGGCTGGAAGACTGGGGCTAATCCCCGACCTTTCGTTGCTGTGAAGAGAGCTTTCCCATGGTTTCTACCTCCGACACCAGTTAGGAGATTTTCCCTGTTTCCTTTTGCCTCTTAGTACCTGGGGGACAGGGTGTCTGAGAAAGTGAAGACCAAGGTTATTGAGCTGCTTTATAGCTGGACGTTGGCTCTGCCAGAAGAAACAAAGATCAAGGATGCTTATCACATGCTGAAGAGACAAGGTATGTGCTTACTTACCTTGCTTTGGCCTCGGAGCAGCCCCAGAGGCTGGCTGAGGCCGGGAAGAATGAGGGGGGTCCGGGAAGAATGAGGGGGGTCTGGCCTCCCCTCCCAAAGGGAAGATCCTCGGAAGGGCTCGGCTGCGGTGTGATTGGTTGAGGTGGTCCTGCCTGCTCACCCCTCTCACGGGGGTGTGCCCACCCTCGCTGTGTGAGGAAGGGTGACACTCTGCCCCCTTGTGTTCCCTTCCAGGCATAGTGCAGTCTGACCCCCTGATCCCCGTGGACAGGACACTGATTCCCTCTCCACCACCTCGTCCCAAAAACCCTGTTTTTGATGATGAGGAGAAATCCAAGGTAAAGTGCATCCCAGCAGATAGCGTCCGTAGATGAGGCGAGGGCTGACTCAGTACCGCGGCAGCTCCAGTTCCTCTGGTCTCCCAGCTGGGATGCTACCTTTCCTTTTACCTTCGGTACCTCCTCTTCCAGCTTTTAGCCAAGTTGTTGAAAAGCAAAAATCCAGATGACCTACAAGAGGCCAACAAGCTCATCAAGTCCATGGTGAAGGAAGTGAGTGGGCCCTGGGCCTTGGGGCGGAGGATTGTGGCCACAGAGCAATAGTCCCTTCCCCTGGTGTGAGGCCTGCTGCCTGCCCCCCGCCCCCAGCCCTCACCTGGAGAGGCCAGAGAGCGAGAGGTGCACTGGAGCTTCTGGGGGAGAATGGACTAGAGGAGCAAGCCTGGACCGGGCCAGCCTGGGGGGAAGCAGGGTGCTGCTAGTTTAAAGGAAAAAGTGCATCTGGACTGGGGCCCGTGGTTCCCAAGAGCCATGCATGAAAAGGAGCTTCCCCTGGGCCTAGCCTCTGCTCATGTCCTCTGGTGCGGTCCTTGCTGTGGGGCGTTGGGGGCTGTGGGATGAGTCTAGTTGAGCTTTTTCTCCTTGACCATCTTTGATACAGGATGAGGCACGGATCCAGAAGGTGACCAAGCGTCTGCACACTTTAGAGGAGGTTAATAACAACGTAAAGCTGCTCAATGAGATGCTGCTTCATTACAGCAAAGAGGATTCTTCGGAGGCAGATAAAGAGCTCATGAAGGTAGGTGCATTTCCGGGGGAGCTGGGCTCTGGGAACAGGAGCCAGCTTTTGCTCAGAACTTGCCATTCCTTATTAATCAGCACAGCGGACAGGTTGGGGCGAGGGGGAGGTGGCACCCCCGTTCTACATGATTGCTGGCTAAGTCAGGGCAGAAGAGCTGTGTGCACACCCGAGTCTCTGTGAGTCTGCGGACCCACCATCAGAGCTCACTTCTCTCTGCCGCGGGGACACTTGGGTAGAGAGACCCGCCCTGTGCCTGATGCTGCTGCACTTTAGTCCTTGGTCACACAGATACTCTGAATTTTGAGGCACACACTCGCCTCAGGGACAGTGGGGTGGAAGCTGGGAGCAGGAAGATGTGTGCTCTGAGCCCAGTTCTGCCAGTAACTGACCGTGGTTCTGGAGGAGGCCCCTGACTTCCTGGACATGAACACGGAATTGGAAGATTTCCAAAGGACTTTGTAGCTCTCATTTTTAGGTCTGGGACTCTTTCAGGAGCTGTTTGATCGGTGTGAGAATAAGAGGCGGACGTTATTCAAACTAGCCAGTGAGACAGAGGACAATGACAATTGCTTGGGTGAGTTCGAGAGTAGTTGACAAGGATAACCCAGGAACGTGGATTTGGCCTGGAGTGAGAAGTATCTCTTTCTGCTCTAGGGGACATCCTGCAGGCCAGTGACAACCTCTCCCGGGTCATCAACTCTTACAAAACAGTCGTTGAAGGGCAGGTCATCAATGGTGAGGTCGCCACCTCAGCCATTCCAGACTCTGAAGGTAAAATGTTCCAGTTCTCCATTGTGGACCTGTCCAGGCCAGCCCCGGGCCCACCACCAAGCCGTGAGCACTTGAGCTGCAAGTCCTCCCACAGGGCCCCAGGGGATTCTGAGCCATTCCCAGAGGCCAGGAGCTGTGGAGAGGATTTTCTTTGCTTGCTTCTTTCCGGTGTTGTCCGGGCCGGAGGCTGTGCTGACAGCTCTGCTTCTGTGCAGCCACTAGAGTGGCCCCTAATCAGTCCCATCCGCCTCCATTCGCCCATCCAGGAAACCACTCCAGGAACCAAGGCACTCTCATCGACCTTGCGGAGTTGGACACACCAAGCAGCTCATCCTCGGTGTCGGCCCCGGCGCCACCGCCTTCTGGCATCCCTGTCCTCCCTCCGCCTCCCCAGACCTCGGGCCCTGGGCGCAGCCACCCATCCAGCCATGCGGAGGCTACCCCGGGTCCCACCAGCACAAGCAATGCCCTCTGCCTGCTGGACGAGGAGCTGCTCTGCTTGGGTGTGTCCTGGAGGGGCCAGCAGAGCCGAAAGGCGTGTGGAATCGGGAGGAGGGCTGAGGGGTGGCTGTGTACTTACTAGGGGTGGGGAAAGGGGCTTCAGGTAGAGGGACAGAGTCAAGTTCAGTGGCCCTCAGGGCAATCTGCACGCAGACTCCAGAATGGACGCAGTGGACTGTCTTGCTCTATTCCCCATCTCTGGGGCTCCCCCTGCCCCACTGAATATAAAGATTGAAGAGGATCCAGCTCTCCCTGGAGGCTGCCTGGGGGAAAACCCCCCAACCCGACACCCCTTGATGCTAATTTTGTCTCATGACTCTACTAGGGTGAGGCAGGGCTGCCAAGGCAGAGACCCTTCTCACCATCCTATTCTGTTCTCAGGCCTTGGTGACCCAGCCCCCACTGCTCCTCCCCCAGAGTCCGCTGGAAACAGCCAGTGGCCCCTGTTCCAGGTAGGGACCTAGGGGACATCACTAAACTGCTTGACGAGCTTCACTTTCTCTTTCCTGACTCAGCCTCAGACCCAGTTGGCTACAGATACGGCTGTCTTTACTCCTTGGGGCACTGCCCTGGGTACATTAGGGAACATGGGTCACATCCAAGGGCTGGCCCTGGCCTCAGGAGGCTGCTAGTCTGGTGGTGGGGTCACAGGGTCCCCAGGAAAAGAGGCCAGAGTTGGAGACCCGAAACCCACCCTCTGCAGCAGACCGCTCCGCGGCCTTTGCTCATGCCACTTTCCATCCCTGACAGAACGAGCAGTCGGACCTGGACTTCGGCGGCCCCAGGCCCGGGAGTGCTGCCGCCAGCCCCTCGGCCGGGCCTCTGGTCCCGCCCTCAGCACCATCTGCAGGCAGCCTCCAGGCTCCGCCGCCGCCCTCCTTCCCGGCGCCTGCAGTCCTAGCCAGCGTTCCTGCCCCCAAACCAGGCTCCTTCTTGTTCCCAGCTGGACCGGCCCCCACCCCAAAGGCTGAGCCCACAGCCCTCGGGTACCATGGCTCAGCTTTGGGCGATAGCACCCTGCACCAGCTGGATGCCCTTGATCATCTTCTTGAAGACACCAGAGCGTAATGAGCGGGAGAGAGCTGGGACTGGGGAGGGGGCCCTGGGCTTGGCAGAACCAGAGGCCACTCCAGAGGGGCTGGGGATGTCCCCTTTTGGTCTACTGAGTCAGGTGGGAATCTGGAAACAGGGTGGGAGGTGGGGTAGGGGGTAGTAAGAACCAGCTCTGCCGGGGCGGGGCGGGGGGGGGGGGGCAGTGTTTTGAGGGGTTGGCCCCGTAGCTTCCCCAGGTCTCTGACTTGTCCTCCTCCTTGCCTCTCAGGACATCAGGTCTGGTGAAACCTGTCTCCTCCATCTTCTTCCCCGGGGCCACCACCTCCCCTCTGGTCCCCACTAGTACCACTGCTCGGCCTCTCCTCCCCTTCTCCCCGGGGCCCGGCAGCCCTCTCTTCCAGCCCCAGGGCAGCCCCATGAAGGGGCCAGAGCTCTCGCTGGCCAGTGTGCACGTCCCCCTGGAATCTATTAAGCCTAGTAGGTATCAGAAGCTTGGGGCGGGAGGGGAGGTGGGGCCCAGTTTACGGGGTCATAGGGAATGAGGGGTGGGCACAGGCTGTCTGCCCAGGTCCCTTAGAGGCAAACATGAGCTGCTTTCCTGCTCTCTTCACCTCTCCCTGTTGCTACTGTATACTCTGAGAGGCTCTTTCTCAGAATCCTTCAGGGAGCCTGCTGGCCACAGGGCTGCCCTGTCCTCCCCACTTGGCTGTGGCTAACACCCTCTGGGCTCTGTGGGGTTTCTCCTTCCACACCCACGTGACCTCTCCTTACAGGCAGCGCCCTTCCTGTGACAGCCTATGATAAAAATGGCTTCCGCATCCTCTTCCACTTTGCCAAGGAGTGTCCGCCTGGACGGCCTGATGTGCTGGTGGTGGTAGTGTCCATGCTGAATACAGCTCCCTTGCCCATCAAGAGCATCGTGCTGCAGGCTGCAGTGCCAAAGGTACCCCTGGCTTCCTGGGCCTCTAGAGGCAGCAGTTACTTTACCTTGAACTCCCTGTGTTGAGGGGCCCAGAGGCCAACAGGCCGCAGCCATGTGTCCATTGTGACTCCAGTAGACTCCCTCTTAGGGGCACCTGCCGTCCCTCTTCAGAGGAGCTTCTCTTTTTCCTCAGTCAATGAAGGTGAAGTTACAGCCACCCTCTGGGACAGAGCTGTCTCCATTTAGCCCCATCCAGCCACCTGCAGCCATCACCCAGGTCATGCTGCTGGCAAATCCGCTGAAGGTGAGCTAGAACCAAGGTCCAGCGTGAAGCCCTGGCTGCCCCAGATTAGGATCTCTGCCTCCCAATTTGAAGTGCTGTGATACTGCATTAACTGTGTCCCTTCCCTACCCTGGTTCAGTGGCTGAGGTGGGGGGGAGTTGGAGCACAGAAAGGGCCCCAAGGTCAGAGGAGAAGAGCAGGTCTCACATGCTGCCCTTTGTCACAGGAGAAGGCGAGGCTTCGGTATAGGCTGACCTTCGCCCTGGGAGAGCAGCTGAGCACAGAGGTGGGCGAGGTGGACCAGTTCCCTCCTGTGGAGCAGTGGGGTAACCTATGACTCCAGAGGACTCCGTGTCACCTCCGCACTGAAGCTCAGGCAGGCTGCCGCGAGACAGGAGGGCTCTCTGGTCTAGTCATTCTCCACATCCTGACTGCAGTGTCTAGAGCTTTCATCTGGAACAGGGGCCCTGGGCGTTGCTGCTGGGAGCCAAGCTGCTGCTGTGATGATCTCTCTGTTGGCCCCCTAAAAGGACCTGATTTTTTTTGTCTACCTGTGTGACTTGAAGTGGCCATGTACCGTCAGGGGTGGGGAGTGGCCCCAGACTCTGCACGGTTGCCCTGGGGACATGGACCCAAGGTGGGGGAGGTTCCCCCCCCCCCCCCCCGCTGGCATCCTGATGCCGTAAGTGGGGAGGTCTCTAAGGAAACATGGGACCCTCCCTCAAGGACTGTGTTCGCACACCCCTAGAGGCCTCAGCCCCCCATTGCTACTTCGTGCTTCCCCTGCTGGCAGGTTCCTGCTTCCACGTCCTGGGAGGTGGGCAGAGCCCGGCGGTCCCGAGTGGCCCTGGCCACAGAGAAGTCGCTGCACTGCAGGATCCCCAGCCCTGCCTTCCACGGGCAGCAGCGTCCTGGAATGGCCACTGGGTGAGGAGTTGTGTGCTCGTCTCTGGCGGTGGCAGGCTGTGTCCTATGGACATCACAGTGGGATATGAACCTCAGCCTATTAGAAACAGAACTTGGCCTTGTGGCAGCCAAAACTAAGGATACAAAAGAAAATGGAAGAGAACCAGTGTTTCCCCTTTTCTGGAAGCAGATACTCAAAGCTTTCCAGGAAAAGTGTGTGCCTCCTGCCTTGGGAATAGGCCATCCTACTCACTACCTCTTGCTTGGCATGAAATAAACTGCTCTCCTTCCCTTCAAGTCTGTGAAGGAAAGGACAAGTCCCATCACCCTCTGCGTTCTTCTGCTTAGGCTTCCCCCCTCTTCCCACCAGATGGCCTGTGGTATGACATGTTTGGGAACAGGCAGCCTCAGGGTTAGGCTCATTGCACTAGACTTCTGTCCTTACCTGCTGCCCAGGAACCTTGACCATCCCCAGCTGTTGGGGAGCAGCGTCCATGAGATACAGGGTGTGGGGGTGGGGAGATCAGGAGCCGTGCTTGAATTGAGTCACCAGACCATTCTGCTTCCACAGGGCTCAGCCTCGGACCGCTTGTCTGAGTTGCTTCATCCACCAGATGCATGTGGGCCAGGGACTCCAGGCCTCACAAGGCAAGAAAGGAACCACCACCAGCTGAGGAAAGAGCACTCAGCTCATCTGGGCTCAGCTGGATGGCTCTGAGCCCTCTCTGGGGAAAGGTGGCACACACCACAATCCCTGATCCCTCCCTGCACTTTGCCAGGTCTCCTTACTGTATCAGAAGGTCCTCTCCCACTTCCCTTCCAGTTTTAGCAAGCAGGATTCAGTGCTTGAATAGAACAGGTCAAAAGTGAATCCATTTCACAAGAGTAAATCCAATAGCTTTCCAAATGCTGGCTGCTGCAGCCCTGGGAAGGCTTGTGGGATTACTGTGTGGAAATATACCTTTATAATAAGCTTTAGACATTAAAATTGAGTGTTACTACTGAGGTCACTGCTTTGTGACAAATGACTGTATACAATATCCCAACTCTGCTGCCCTTGGTCTGCTGCATGTCAAATAAAATCATTTTTGCCCTAGCTGGAATCCTAATACAGACCCCGTTCACCCCACAGTGGGCAAAATACCACTTATGAATTCCAAATGTAGACAGATCTGCTGGAATCACCTACGGTTTCTGTTGATGAAGAAGGTACAGGTTCCTGGACCTTTTCCTTTTTTAAAGGAAAGAACCATTAACAGATAAATGTTCCAGCTGATTCTAAAGTGAGGCTCAATTTCAGAAGTGCAAATAAACTACTGACTGCTCTTGTTTGAATTTCAAATAGGAAGGAGGGCATTGCACTCACCATCATAACTTCCAGGAGTGGCTTTTACTCTTGGGAGACCAGGAAAATCGTTCCACACCAAGGAGAAGAGAACATGTACTTTCTAACACCTCCAGTTCACAGTAGAGGTAGGAAAAACCTTACCTTCTACTGGAGGGAAAAGAATTTTTTTATTCTTTCAAAAATGTATATACATTGCCATACAAAGATGCCAGACTGCAGCAGCTCTCAGCTGGCCTCAGGAGCCTTCCAGTGAGCCTTCTTTTACAATGGCCCGGGCAAGATTTCGTGCCAGCGCAAGTCTTAGCATTTCCAGCTTGGTGTTCTCGATGTCCTCCTAAAACGCAACGATGACCAGCATGAGGTATAGCAGGAAGTGTTCCTTGAGAGCTCCGAAAGGCTCTGTGTGACCCAGACGCAGACCAAGGGCATGTAACCCTTAGTAGCTTCTAGCAAGTCGTTTATGAGGGAACTGCATGCAAAGGACCACGACGACTGACCGACGGACAAGTAGAGACCAGAACACTAGGATCACCCCACTTTCTCTTAAAACAAGCCAGTGTGTCAACTACAGGTTAAGAGGTAAATCAAGCACAAGTAGAGGGAGCCTTTTCTTATCGCCATTACAGAATCAACAGCCCGAAAGCTAAAATGACCTGGAGTCGCTGAGCACCAGGCTCTCCCCGCACCGGCCTTCCTGAGGCCAAGTCCTCCAGACATCTCATCAGCTCATAGGTTTGCTCCGTTGTAAAAATCACCTGAGAGAGAAAAGAAGCTGCTTTACTTAGATGCTCCCCAACCACGGCCTGCGCTGATCTGGGTTCACACTGAACGTGCCCAGGTTCAGAGACCGCCTTCTGTGCATGCCCTTTGGAGAGGCAGGCTTTGGATGCGCAGCCCTGGAGGGACAGCGCGCCCCTACTGCCCCCCAGCCTCTCTCTTCAGGGCACCAGGCGGAGTATGGTCAGTAGACAGCGGCCTCATTTCAAATTAAGTAGATGCTTTTCTCGTGTAGATGCTCTATTTCCAGGGGCGGCGTTCCGGGAGGGCACCCCCACGCATGGGGCTCTCCCGCGGGAGCTGATGTACAGATGTGCATCTGCAACAACTACGGAATAAAGCGTTCTGTCAGAGACTATAAAACGCAAAGAAAATCACTGTAGATTCAGACTGTACCTGTTTCTGTTCCAAAAGGGGCAGGGCATCTGTGAGTAGTGTTACCCAGAAACACCGCGGAGCAATCTGGGACGTCATCAACGACAGGAGAAGAGAAGCCGCATCAAAAAAACGCTTCTCCCCGTAAAATCGGTGGAACTCCCGGTACTTTCCTATTGCAAAAAGAGAACAGGAGGTCACCTCTGGCCCTCATCAAGCCTGGAGAAGCCCCAGCCAGCAGCCCAATGAGAACAACAGGATTGAAATTAAAAAACACTTTTATTTATAAAAAACACATGGGCCACACGCCTGGATGGCTCAGTGGGTCAAGCGTCAGACTCTTGACTTCAGCTGATCGTGATATCACAGTTTGGGAGTTCAAGCCCTGTGTCAGGCTCTGTGCTGGCTGTGCAGAGCCTGCTTCTCTCTCTCTCCCTCTCCCCCTACCCACTCAGGCTGTCTCTCTCAAAATGAAAAAAAAACCAAAAAACCAAATTTATGAAAAAACCTGCTTTGAAGGGGCTCCAAAGAGCCAAACAGATCCTTCAAAAATGTCAAGGTGAAGAAACCTCAAGAAAGGGGCACTAAAGAGACTGGACAACTGAATTCGTGAACGTGGAGATGATAAAAGACCTTGCTGGGATGGTGGATATAGTCAGAAGGTGGATTATGGATTTGAGGAGAGCAGTGCATTTTGGTAACTGGTTATGTGATAGAAAGTTCTTGTTCTTAGAAAACACATGCTCAGGTATTTATGAGGAAAGGGGAGCAAAGTCTCCAATTTACTTTTAGACTGTTCCCCAAAAACCTGAGAGGATAATAAAAATAATAAAACAAAGGCAAAATATAAATAGTGAATCTGGATAAAGTGTACATGGGAGTTCTTTATTCCTTAAACTACTTTGCACCTTTTCTCTTTAATTTTGAAATTAATGGGAAATGTTACCACAAAATATGCTTTGCAGAGTCTGGCACGCGGAGCTCTGTGTGGTTTGGAGTTTGGGCTTAACAGGAAGGAAACCCTGGAGAAGTCTAGATACTACCTCCCATCTCCACAAGCCACCACTGTGAGGAAGGTGCAGGGGACAGAGCCCAGAAACTCACCCAAGAATGTCAGTCGATCACTGAGCATCATGGCAGGCCCAAGGTTGTCAATGAGATCCAGATCAGAAAAGCAGCCTCGCTCACAGTAATCCCTGAGGAACCTGCGAGGCCGGGCCCAGAAGTCAGAGCAGCAGTCCTAAGCCCCATTTCCTCAGCCTTCCAACTTGCCACACAGCCCCGAGAGAAGCCGAAAGGGACCGAACCCACCTGTCTGACACCAGCGTGGCAAAGGCTGCATCTTTGGCTCGGATGCTCCAAGACAGGGCAGAACCCAGGCGGTTGTTGCGGACAGCTTTCATGGCTAAGATCTTACAGATGCTGCGAACTTGGTAAGGGAAAAAAACAAGGTGAACCTTTCACCCTGCAAGTCACTCCATTCGTAACCTTTGCTGGACAGAAACCGGCTTCCCAACTCCTCTGAGCTTTCTGTATAGCCTGTCCGCAGACTTCAAACGCAAGTTGGTCCGTAACACTAGGAAATTGGAGGTTTATAAATTGTCTCCTGGCTCTGGTCACACTATGACCCACCCTAGCAGGGCTGGCTGTGTGAGTGGGTTTGATTTCAGGGATGGCAAAAAGATTTTTAATGCTCTCCACAGACGAGCTCCTTCATTATCTGTGCAGATACCAAAAACATCCTTTGGATCTTGAATGCCATGTGCTTTCAGAGACGGCCATATGCAAGCAAATGCCTCTGGAAAAAACAGACTTTTGCACTCAACAGTGAGGGGAGGAGGGGCAAGCATCACTGCTTCCTTTCTGTGCTCTTCCCGAGCTGCCTCTGGTCCTGCTTCCCCACTGAACCAGCCTTAGCAACAGCAACCCACCCGGGAGAAGTAAATTCCAAGCGGATCCCAGCCCTGAACTTAAGAGACAGGAAGTGGGTAAAAATCTTTGTGAAAGGTAATGTGCTCCATTGCTTCTAAGTCTTGATGGATCCCCAGCTTGTCCTAGCTCAATAATTTTCCTGTTTTGGCTTATCTCTTGGCACCCGCTGCTCAGCCTCTCTCCAGTGTGGCTGGCACGGCATGAGCAGAAAGTATGGCAGCAAGAGGGCAGCTCACCTTGCTCAGTCATCTGCCGCTGCTCACAAATCCGCAGCACCTTAAGGGCTTTCTGTTCAGTGCTCAGAGGTATCCGCTCAATATGCAGCTCCAAGGAAACTCGGCCCAGCTCAGGGCAGTAATCAAAGTAATCCACTCCCAACTGCCAAAGGCTGCAACAGTCCGAGAAGAACAGACATGAGGTGCTGCCCTGGAGCTCAGGGACTGGCACGGAGAGGCTACTCCCGCAGGCCCCGGAGACTTCAGGGAACCAGAAGGGAAAGAACGCCATCTTGTCTGCTGAAAAGCACTGTTGGGGTCTTCCTACCTATGATGAGCAAACAGTCCTGAGGCATATTCCAGCAGGAGGAACTCTCTCATGTTGGATCCGAAGCTGGAATAAACAAAAAATGAGACCAAAACCCATGGCCTGCCCCATTCAGGCCCCTCCCGCAGCCCAACCACGCTTCCATACAGTGACCCCCAAGTCCCGAGGGCTGGCCTGCTGCCACATACTTACTAGAGATTGTGCGACTGGAGGAGCTTGCAGTGATCCAGCAGATCTGTCAGATGGGCCACAAACCACCAGTTGCTTAAGGCAATGCTGTGGGTTCAAACCCAAGGAGAACAGTCAGGGTGAGAGCATGGTCCACATGAGGCAGAGCATGAGCAGGACCCC